TCTCGCATTTTTTCATTCAATCTCGCATTTTTTCATTCAACCTCGCATTTTTTCATTCACAAATCGCGAATTTCATTTGAATCGCATAATTCAATCTCGCTCAAAGCGGTTTCGCAAGAACGATAGAGTCGTACAAAAAGTGAGTGGAACGTGTGGAAAATGATCAGATGCTGCGGAAAAGAAACGTGAAAAGTTTATCGTTATCTCAGGGATACAAAAATGCCGAAAGTATATGAAAACTTTCAAGATGTGGAAATTTCAATTCACCAAGAAAGCTTCCATATAATTCTCATGCTACTCACAGCGAAAGTCAATCGCACTAAACGAATAACACCAGCTATTGCGAAACGTGCATCGGGAAGGGTACATAATTGATAATAAGCTGAATCAGAAGTGATCGTAACTCACCTGACGCCAGAACATTCAGCTCTTTTCTGCACAACTCAACCACATGAATTTGCCACAGGTGAAATAAGCAGAATATCACATTGGCTAGATGGATCACTATGGACGTCACCGAACTATCATACGAATCTGCAACTGCATTAGTTTATTGGCAGACACTAAGCAATCCAGTTATCGCATCAAAAAATAGTTTTGACTGAGATTGATTCAGAAATTTCCAATCAGCCAGTTTGAATTTAAAAAAACATTTTTCATCAATCATCAACAATTGAACTGAATAGAAGCGATAGTTTCTAGCGAACGACTCGTGAAACTATCAAATAATCGTATGTAAAATGATAAAAGAAACCTTTTGGAGCAGTTTTTAGCGCGAAGATACTGTAGAAAAATAAATAGGCACCCAACAAGATGGACAGTACGAAAGTGGTTGCCTTAAAAAAGCTTCATTTTGTATTGCAGTCTTTTGAATGACCAACCCCAAGCTAATCTCAAAACCGGAACGTTTTATTCGAAACACTAATTCAATTCGACATCGCTGTTTATAACCTCAACGAATGCGCGAATTATTTCTCGATAATGTCGACAGGAAAGAGCTGATTAGTTGATTTTCGATTCAACTTGCTTTCGGAACAATTGCGACTGAGAAGTATCATGCAATTATTCGTGAGTAAGTAATATTGTGACAAACTATTAGCATAATATGTGCCAACTCTTGTGTGGCAGTTCATTGTCTTTTTTTTGGTTTAAGAAACTCCCCGGCAAATTTCATTGCTAATGATGACGAACTGTTGGGAAGGTTCAAAGAATATCTTTCATAGAACGAATAAGGTTCAAAGAACGAATAAGCAAGATTCAACGCGGAAAAGAATATCTTTCCGAAGTTTGCTAGTTATTCAATGCACATGTGTATACATTTCGAAAGAGTCATTCGATTCGCATTCGACTGCAACAATGAAAATGCCTCGATAATTTATCAATTTCTGAGGTTCATGGTTTGAAAGCTTATATGAAATCGTTTTCTTAATGATTTTCTAGATAGCCGTAACGATGGATTTAATCTTATTGAATAAGATCGAAAAAGAATTCATTGGGATTTATCCAATTCAATGAAAACTGCACTCAAAAAAGGCCCTTGAATTTGTCGAGACAAAAAAAAGAAGTTAGCAAATAAGTTATCTGCTTCGGTTCTCACGACAACTTGCGAAGTTTGGATTGTTGCACTAATAATATGTAAAGAAGCATTAAAACGTCATTAGTTCTCCGTTTCTCGAGATAACTTTAGCATAAATAACGCAAACCGTAGGAGGGTGCTTAAACATTTGGCTTTCATGGAAAATTGTGCTCGTATCCATCATCTCTATTACAATCGCCAATGTTATGAACACAGTTGTTATTGTGATACGGTAATCATATTCTTATAATCATCATTGTTTGTGACATGTGATCGCCTATCATTGCAGTATGTTGCTTGTATTCATTCAGTGCTTGACTGTATCTGTGCTTGTTATTTATCACAGAAACTCAGCGAATGTCACTTGTCACAGAATTGTTTATCGCTTTTGTTTACGATACAGCGCTAGATGAATTAAAACGAGTGCACTGAAGGTGAATGTGATGATGCATTCGAAATGTCAAAGAAAAAATGATGCATTATCGACTCACAACCCAAACCATAAACGGATAAAGCAATGCGGCTTTATTCATTCGTAACGACAACGCAGCCATCACAAATATAGCCGTCGTTAACCATAACCCGTAATAGAACGTATACGGGAAAAACGCATAAATGAACGCAATCACCAACGTGATGTGATAGACTAAAAGCGCTTTTGTGATTGTCTGCAAAAAGACATACTCTCATCACGGTTCGTTTGCGTCAGAGTAGATATAGAGATGGAATTTGATATTTTCATATAGTCAAGCATTCACTTCTATATTTCTGGAAGGTAGTAATGGTTATGAAATTGACCTTGGTAAAGTATTTACTATGAGAAGGAAACATATCCACAAGAATCAGTTTCAAATGAATGCTGCATGTTTTTTGCAGTTAAAAAAGCCATCGTTAGCGGTTTCATGCTCAACAGAGTGTTATTAAGAAGATCTAAAAGCAAATGTGGAAGTACCGATGGTCTAGCGTTGCACAGAGATAGATGTTGTATGGGATCACTGTTTCGTGCGTCTGACTGACGTTTTGAAGATGGCTCGCAGATGAGTACAGTTGAGCTTGATATTGGTGTGTTGGCTGAGGATGGAAATTCACTTGTGGGGGCCATTTTGATGAGCTGAAACATGAAAGCGATCAGGAGAATGAATCTGAGCAGAACAGAACGAGTGAAGGTTCTGGAACGACCGAGTGCTGAGACCATATAAAACTGTTACGTTGATAATAACGGCGATTGCAAAGAGATGACAATTTAATTAATGATAACATTGATTGTCACACTACTAATGATAGCATTAACGATGATAATGCCAAACATAACGCCAGTGAGACGAGAGTCATCGACACCAACAGTCCAAAAGTTATCAAATTTGCAAGTCGTAAACTGCTTGCGAAAGAATCGATCATATTGAGGCTAAAGGGTAGCATATTGAGGTTAAAGGGTAGCATATTGAGGCTAAAGGGTAGCATATTGAGGTTAAAGGGCAGCATATTGAGGCTAAAGGGTAGCATATTGAGGCTAAAGGGTAGCACCAAACAAATAAGCACTGCTCATCAACCGCCGCTTCATCCACTTCAAATCAGTAGTGATGTCGAAATTCCCATCCGTACCAGTGGCAACATATTAAGTGAAAAAAAAAATTCAAGTAAAAACTTTCTGGGCAATTTCGTTAGTGATTCATTTACAACGAATTCATAGAAATTTACAGAAATGATCTAAATTGACTGGTCTCGTTCTAATTCTAAGCCGAATCGAAAAAATAGGCCTCAGCCCAAACTTGAGCTTGAATCTTGCCGTGAGCTAAAGCCTACGACACACAACAGCAATGAAATAAGTATGAGTCATTCTTACTTGTTAGTAACAGACTTCTTCAGAGCCAAAATAGCGAACAACTCTAACACTGTATTGAGCAGAAACAATCACGTTGCGAAATGCTTCTTTTCCTTGCTTTCGATGCAGAGACAATTTCAGAAAACGACTCAAACATTTCTCAGAGCATTTGATAGAACGTCTATTCAACGCAAAAAACCTAATGGCAGCATAAGCAATGTGAGTAAGCATTATGAAATAAGATGTATTTAATTTCTGTCACTATTCAAAAAGTGCATCGTTCTTAGAACAGTTGCGCTCGCACTTTAGACGATATTCCAAACATGAAAATACCTTTACATGGATTATAATAACGATTGCTCCTTCAGTGAAAACAATCGGAAGTGACTCCAGCCGCTTACGCCGTCATTTAGCTGATCAGTCTTGAGAGCATATGAGTTCCGATTGGTTAAATTTTCGAATTGGGAGCAAAATCAATGGAATGAAGGACGAGGAATGAACAGGAGAATGAATAATTGATAGCCTCGAATGAAGCACACTTCTCTCTCTTCAGATATCATTCAGAAGCAGTCATTAAACCGAAACGATTAAAACGATCACTGCGCAAAAGCTTATTGTCGAAGAGCGAATGTCACTTCAGTTAATGATACATCGTTTGGAGGAAATCAAGAGTAAGAAAGCCAATTTGACGAAGAAATCTCGCTGTTTTTGTTACATGCCAATGCATTCTTTCCATTAGCACTGCAACTCAGAACATTGCGTGACATTTAAGCGCATATCTAATTTCATCCAATGAAGAAATGACTTATGCGCCAAGATGAGCACTGCAAATCGTGTTCATCTCGACGGAATTCAACTAATAGACGTAATTTTATGTGAGACATCCAATGCAACATGCTATAGTAACTGAACTAAACTTTAATAGTGAAAAGCAGCAACTAAATCAGACTTGAATAATAAACAACTTCGACAAGCCAGCGAAGAATTGCACTGGTTTGTTGTTGCTGTGATGAATGAGAAAAAAACGTTTTTGCATTGCACTCTTGAAGACGATCTAATGAGCTGTGTCCTTTTGTGGTGTTCCGTTGTGAATTCTTTACTGACAGTGTACGAGTGGGCAATCGAGCCTAATTGCACTCATGAGACTTCATCTAAATAATGAGCAGGACTCTTCTGTTCAATCCATCCATCGCCTTCTCAGAATATAACAAAAAAACTGACAACGATGTCGCATTTGAGTAAGTAGTACTTTTGATGAATTGATCAAAAAGGACATGTGTTCGTTGTAGTGAACAGCGTAAATGTAGCGCTGTCTGGGTCCTCGAATGATCTGTATGTCAGATATCATATATTCCTTCAAAAAAAANAAAAAAAAGAAGATTCATTTTGAATTCGTACCACTTACAAATGAAAACTCGCTGAATGAAATGAATACCACCCGAACTTCAGGGTTTCTCATTAATGAGTCTGAACCAGATCCAATAGTTGACCAAGTTTAGTGCAGGTTTTTGAATCTATACTCGCATGCTGCATCGGATGATAACGTTCACATAAAATACTGCAACTAGTTGGGTGGGTAAAACGAAAGTGGTTCTAGGAAAACACCAATTGCCAAGAGACAGACTGTTCACGAGCGATTTTCGAACACGTTGATCATCGCGGATACCCTCAACGGAGATACGAAACGAAGAGCATTGGAAATTTTGTCACGAATGTAGATATGTTGCGAAATATCTCGCGATATGGGAGTGGTAATAAATGGCTTTTTTTGAGTGGAGGAAACGAGATTACAAAGATTTGATGATGCGCTTTTATGCAGTATCCATAGGTGATGGATTCGTGAATACTCATAAAGTTAATGAAGAGTCAAAAACATTTTGAACAAACGATTAGAAAACACGATACATTTCAGAGGATAGTATCATATAAATGAATCAATCCTCTCTTGCAATACTGAATTCACTTGAACTAAGTATATCAGTAAGTCATCCGAAGACTTCTCATGAATTCTCAGTCGCAATTCGTCTTTCAGTCGAACTCAACCAAGCGAACGCTTTACGTATATTATTAATAATAAGTCATCAGAAAACTTTGCGTTCTTCGAAGAAAGCACGTATACATTAACAGACATGCAATGCAGCCAGACGAGTGTTTTGATATGTGCACATGAAAAGCACATGTATTGAATGTAGTCAGCCACTCAAAAAAGAATATCCCGATGAAATGTTGTGGTTTTAAGCTGACTCAAGCGTGCACTCTGAAGTGGATGAAAAAAGGATAATTACCACCCACTGAACCAATTTCATGAACGAATGTTAGTGCATCATCACACATCAACTGAATGATACGATAAGCCTCAACAGTGTTGACAGCGTTTGAATCACTCAGTTCGTAATTCATGTATAAAAGACATTTGGTTCTTGTAATAGATGACATTCAGGATATTGTGGTATATGATCACAGACCAGTGTTTCACCGTAACAAGAAATTCCTGAGTAAAATCCGTTGAGTTTTCGCGCAAGTTTGCGAAAGGGAACTTGCAATTATTCCCAATCGATAGTATGGTGATGTCCGAATGACGAATACTTTTTGCCGTCAACTTTGTAACGTCTGAAGCGTAGATACCAACAGCTGTTTTTGGGTGTAAACAGCTTTTCACAAATCCTGGACTTTCTTGACCATTTTTTCCGCATGTTGGGAATTCCCAAAAATGGCAAAAATCATTCTTCCCAGCCGCTCAGTGAAAGCAATCCTGGGGTTTTCCAGGAATTCTTGGGGTCGGAATCACCAACACTCAGCTAGATGTTGATCAAAACTTCTTCGTTACTGATGAAATTCAACATCAGCTGAACGTCAAATGATAACGCGAATGGATTATTGAAAATAGTTCGTTGTTGTGCGCATTGTTGCGCTATGCTAACAAAATATTATGTTTTAACAAGAACTTCAATGATTTTCACGCAGATGGAAGGCGTTACAGCAATCAGCTTTAATTAGATTGCGCACTTTCTGCTCGTCACACGAATCTGTCGTACTTACTTTAACCTTCTGTCGCCGGAATAATAGTCAAATTTACTGCTCATGTTTCTTCGATGCGACAAGATCAATTCAAGATATGTAACAAAATAGAAACTTTATTCACGTCATCGAAGTTCATTGTGGCAAATTGGATATAACGAGTAACAGAGCAAAATTATCATAACGTTCAATTTGCAATGCTAATGTGCCCAACGGATCTGAACTCGGAAACCTAATCAACTGACTGTTTGTGTAAATCAAGACCCTAATTGCTTGAATTTCACTCATAGTTGCTCAATCATTGTGGTGGACTCATGGACATGAACTGTAGTGAAACACTGCTCTTTGGGCATCACAGTTGACTCTTTAGACTGGATTTTGAAAGTTCCTTGCATTTACACACTTTATTTCAACTCGTTAGCACATCGCTTATGGTAACGGGAATCTGAACTTATGAATGCGCTTATGAATTTTAAAAATTTTGTGCGTGAATCTTAAGAAATTTTTCTCGCGCACTTGTTATTGATAAGGAGTGAAGAATTATCAAAATTAAGAGAATTCGATGACAATATGAATGAAAAGATCCGAATGCACGAAGAATAAAGAAATGAACTGAAACAGTTTTCAAAATATTCTAAAAATAAGAAATTCCACACACAACCTTCCACGCCACCTTACGGTTGCTAAGGTGAGGAATTAGTCAAACATTCACAGCAAATCAAATAATTTATTGATTGTAGATAAATCTAAGGAATCGGAACTCGACGATCGCGTTTATCTATTGAGTACGCTGTCTGATGCGTTAAGATAGGACAGGACAAACGATGATAAGACCAATCAGTTAATTAATTTGGAAAAAATTGAGTTGGAATAGAATTTATTCATTTCTTATCAGCACGAACAGTGCATGATCTACATTCCTTAAGATCTATGCGCAGATTTGAAATTAAGATTGTTGAAAACGAGATTTGTGTATCGATTCATAATCTCAAGTGCCCGCAAAATAATCAGAAAATTTTGCGATTAAACTATGATTCGTTGCAAAACAAAAAAAAGGTTCATAACAATGAGTTTCGATGAACAGTCTTGAATTGCTGACGGCAAGTTTAAATGTGTTCTCATGTTACGGTCAGTGAAAATGTCAGTCGCGTCTATGTCAGAGAAGTTTAATGAAAGGCGTCGTTCCAAGAGCAAAGACCTCGGATTGTGAACGCAATTTCGTTGAACATACTTTCGAAAAAGAAGCTCTTCGTTTGGCCAGTTTTCGATTGAACTATGCTCACTCAGTTTATTGCTTTCACTGCGTTGAAACAACGGAAAATGTCCGAAGTACGGTAAACAGCGCAGATTCATACATCAAAAAGCATTCGGAGTTGTCAGATTTTCGTCGGTAGTCCGTCCGTTCGATAGAACAAGGGAAAACAATGAATTTGCTGGTTATAGTTACTGGAGGTCAGCAGCTAGAATAGCATAACTGCACTGGTGTGATTTGAATTCGGAACTTGACTTGGTTTAAAAAAATTTATTGTATTAACATACATACCTAGGAATCTGGAGCATAAAGCAGAAGTATAATCGTACATCTCCGAGCTTTCAAGACAACGACAGCATGGAGATAAGATTATTTTGACTGCGAAACGATTTAGCATTCGCTCATTGGCATGAGAAATGAAACGCACCTGCTGCGAATCAAAATCCATCTTAAGAATTTTTTATGTGGATGACAGCTGCTTCAAAAATCGACATTTCTAGCCAGCTTTGATGGGCTACCTTCGTAAATGCACTTGTTGTTAGTGCCTTTGAAAAAAAGTTGTCTTCAACTGCAATTATAATGTAATATCATCGAATATGAATGAAGTGACGATCGATTCAAAAGAGAAACGAAAACACGAACGGTTTCGAGACACATCTCAAGGGTTCGCTTTCAGACGGCAAAAAAAACAACTCCTCTATGGTAAACATACGCTAAACACTTAATCCAGATTCAGCAACCAATCATCATTCTACTGAGAAGCCGATGACATCGTGGTTACATTTCGATGACTCCTAACAATGACTTCGTTAATGTCACGTGAACTGTCACAATTGCGATAGCACAAAAAAGGTTTATTCACTGACATGAAAACTTTTTGGGTGAACTAAATGTACGAGAGTACTAATTAAATTGATCGGCATACAGCAGATCAATTAAGAGGAGGACATTGATTATGGATTACAATTCTGTTTATAAAGCACACGCGTAGCGACGTTTTAAATCCAAAAAAACATCTGTTGCAGAGAGGTAATGAGCTTTTGTGTCCCAAGAGTGCCCTCCATCAGTATTAAACGAGATAATCGTAATTTGATTGTCGTGACACTTTTTTTTTCGGATAATGAAGCGTTTGGTAAGTTATATTGAAGATATGAAAATTGTTGTTCCATTCAACTTCAAATGCACTTATTGAAGCATTTGAAAGGCAACATCCTTTTCGGTGTTCTTTCTGGAAAGTGCTCCTCACTTGCGAGGGATTCAACGTTGACTTGAGCGAAACACTCAACTAGATCGAGTAACAAATCAAACAGATCACACTGACAGGATACGTGAATTCTCTGAATCACATTCATTCACTAGTCATCATCACACAAATTTAGCTAATCCGGATGGAACAGTGAAGAGTTGTTAGAGTCGAATTTCAACTATTATCGACTCAATTCATATGAAATCACCGAAAACCATCAGCAACCCCATACCACGACAAACTTCAAGGGAACGCTCGTCAATGTCGAAAACAATATTGAACGAATTGAACAATTACTGAAAATGGGCTTCTCAAATTACACAAAACGAATTAATTCAATTCGAGCAAAAAACACGGTCAAATCGAATTTCTCCACGATGAAATTACATTTCAATCAGACGAAATCAACAGATGAAGAACAATGAGGTCAGACACAACGGCAGCGTGCAGTTCAATTATATAGTCGGCAGATCTGGAAAGGTGTGTGATAGAAGAATGGGATAACTTTTTAATTGGAACCGAAAAAAGTTTATGATGGGTTAAATAACTAGAGCAAGGCCGATCGGTGCTAACCGCTCAGCTCCATTAATTTTTGCGAAAAATGACTGGCGACATCTTGTGATGAATGACATCACAATGAACAAATTATTCATGAGGGAAAACCATCATTTTATTGGTCGGCTCTCAGCCTAGGTCGTGCTCTAATAATGGAATCAGTTCTTTACCATTATCGTCAATTTAAAACCTCGAATTAATTTCCGTGACTAACGAAATGATTCACGATCAATAAATTCACAATAATCACGCGAGGCATCAGTAAATGAATACTCACAAAATGCATTTTAGAAGCAAGATTTGTTAATCACTGTGAAGCTAGCAGCATTCATTCGGAGAACAAATGCGTTACGGATTTGTCAATCAGAGCTTGTTGGGATTAGCTGTTGATGGAAAATGATGGATTGAGCGTTTGTTTCATGTTGAAAGTGTCACTGGGGAAAAGAGATTAGAGAGTAGAAGAAGGTAGGAAGTAAGTATTAATGAACAGGATGAAGCAATCGAAAATCGATCGACTCGGTGAAGTGCATTGAAGAGGAAGTGAAATATTGATGATGTTGACGTTATTAATGACCATCCAACGTCAAACCATTCGTTGCTTCAACTCTTTTGGGAATTTGTCGAAGCACTTCTTGCAAATCGGTCGCATGTCCATCTCAATGACCTTCGAGCTGCAATTGTCTCCTCTTCATCAATAAATTATCTGCACTAAAAACCCTTGAGCAGCGCAGATTTTGCGCCGAATTTTGCATAGTATATAAAACTGCTGAAATCCGTCCTCTTTTATAAAATTTTTACGCTTTCAAATAACATTGGTCAAACTCGTTCTCACGATGGATATAAACTAATCATTAAGAGATGTGACCTAAATAAGTTCAATTTTCTTTTCCAACTGAGTGTCAAAAGCATGGAAGTGTTTACCACAACATGTCATGAATGCTCCATCCCTAAATGCATCGTTTGGAGCAATGTACTACTCCCGTTTCACTTACTTTCTTTTCACACAAAAGTTTCACCGAAATTATTAATTATGAATAGCTATGCGTGTTCTCATATGCTCTACATAGTCTTTCTTCCTTCCTTTTGGCCTTCTCCTTCCCAACAGTACATTCGCCAGCATGAGTTCCACCCCTTCAGACGTTTTCAATGCTTATTATCATTGTAACAAAACGCCTCCTCGATGTCAGTTAGCATTTAAGAACATGCCAGTTGTATGTGATCACTTACCGACGATCTAGTGGTCGATCGCAAGTGGAACAAGCATAGCAGTTTGGACACCAAAATTTCGCGAATACTTTCAAACTTGCACCAGTTATTCCAGCGTTGCATTTATAGCATTCATCCGCAAACAGCTAATCATTCATCCGTTATTCAGGATCAATTAAATAAATGAATTTTGAAGAAAAAAATACAAAATGCGATAAAAGACAAAACATATTACTTTCTCTCTTTTTCCAAACGCATCTCAATTATGCTGCTTTTGAACAACAACCAATTTTATTCATCGCAATTTCCATTAAAACTGCTCAGTGGAAAACTGTTCGTTCGAAAAAAAGTCTATGAAAGTTCCATTGGGTATCTATCCTAAGGCTGAACAAAAACATCAGCTCATGAATTGACAATGATGAAGCACAAGTGCTACTACCTTCTTGTAACAGCTTTCGCAATAGGCTCGTTCACGTTTCTCGAAGTGTTTGCTGCCGTAAAACGGTTTCTCGCATTTAGCGCACAAGAAATGCTGAAATTGCGAAGTGTTCGCGCAAATGACCGGACGGCTGACAGAACAAAATTGCGAGAACGATGTGAAGAAGATCGCGATGAAACATGATGCTTCGAAATGAAGTGAAATATGCTGTCAGTATTCTCATGAGAACATTAAGTGGAGAGTTAACTGAATGTCGGATGGAATGTTTGAAACGAGCAGATGCACATCAAGTGCACATCCGAATGATATTTATGGAATACCATCAATAGGTTTTGAATGTTGCGTTTCGATGGTAATTTTTCATGTTCTTTGGATTTTGTTTTGACATGAATGGATTTTGCAGTGTGCTGAATTCTTCGATGCATTTGAATGAATACGTTTAAATTTAGATTTGTTTCTTTAAATGAATGGATTTCGATGCGATATAATAAAGAAAATCATTCGCTAACGTCAATATGCCAATGCTTTTGCAGTGCAAAAACGCTTCGTTCATCATCGATCGGATGGCGACACGCTGCACAAACATGACACATCTGATCGAAACACCTCGGACAATATAAATCATCTCTGTGAATTCGAGCCTTTTCATTCAACTCCACACTGTAATCCGTTAGATTTTAGAATGGCATGCAAAGACCTTATCTTCACGAAATTGGGGGAATCTCATGAAGATTTTCGAAAAGGTGGTTACTGAATCTAGAATATGCTAAATTCTAGTCAGGCGCAAACGTTGCACGAAATTGAGGTGAATACCCGCATTTGTTGCAGTTGAAGTGGTACGCATGATAGTCTTCATGACGATAACGGAGTTGTTTTCCAGGCTCGATGTATGTAAAACCTGAAATTCAGCACCGAACGTCGCTTTCAAGAAGATTATCAATTGTTCGCTCAGAGATCAACCATCCGAGGTAAAATAATGAATCAGGTATGTGCGCAGAGAACTGGAAAACGATTGAGCAACTCACATTTTGAGCAGAGCTTTCCGCCTTCCTTTTTTGCCAACTTATTACAAGTCATACACAAGTTTCTGAAAATCTTTCTTACATTCAGAACTGTTAAATTGACATTCAGATTCAATTTGCACCCAGTCAATTTGAACTTTTCAATGAGTCCTAAATTCCGTAAGTGGTTTATCACAATGGAACTCACTCAATCCTATAAGAATCCGACAAACCATTAGTCCTCATTGAGTAGGGAACAAGAAAGGATTAAGCTAACCGTCCAGCGTAATGCCAAACACCTTCGTTATCCAGCTGTGTATTGCACTGTTCACACCGAAAACACTGCGGATGCCAACTGCAGTTTGCAGCTTTAATCACACGTCCCATTATGAAATCCTCTGCAATCGAACGAACAAATCTTCAAAATTTCTGTGTTTCAATTGATAACTCATGGCCTTCTCTGCCCGTACATGTGATCAACAGAAAATCGCTCATTCGAAACATGAGCGCATTCCTACCAGAAGCTAATAGATTTCAAAACTAACGACTTCACGTTATCTATATAATCAGATGCTACCCAAATACAGGCGATACCATCGATATTTATGGTGACCTAATTCAGGACATTAGAAGACTGGTTTTTGATCCTTCGTAGCTTCGATCAAATAAGCCACGAAAATCTTCAAAATTTTACCTTCCTTGCTCAGAAACTAATCTGAAACCTCCGATAAATTTAATTAAAATTTAATTATTAGGACAAATGCAATATGACTGATCAAAGCTTACTGCATTTTGCACATGTGGGTGCATAGAGCGCTTTGAAGTCATGCTCACAATAATTACGGCCGTCCACCGTGAAATGCATATCGTTTAGCAGTGAACAAAAACACTGAGCACATCTGAACACCATCGATAATGACTGATGCCATTGATGCTAGACATGAATTTGGGCAGATTTTGCGAAGCGAAATGAAATCGACTGAGAAATTCTCTCAGAAACCGGAAAAGTTCCAAACAATGAGCACCTCAATGAACTGGATGATCATTTTAGCTCGAAAATTTTGGGAATAAAAGTGCGAAAGTTCAGTAATGTTAACTTTTGAAAGTTTTTTCCTTGAATACGTACGATTTATAAGGAGAATGGCGCAAAGACAGGGAAATGAAACCTGAAGCATTCGTTATGCCATGTTTTACTACCTGTACTAATGAACACCTCTCCACTCGCGAAAAGCTGCTGGCATCGAGCGCAACGAGCCGCCGACAACGGTGATAAAGGATCGATTCTAAAGTCGCACTATTTTTGTCGCATATATTGGGATACGGAATGGAATAAAAGCTTGGAGATTACGGAGAAAAATCAGAATTTTAATGAAACTGGTGCGAAAAGACAAAATTATCGCGGATAACTTACGGTACGTTGATAGATGAAGTGTTCTGAGAGCTTGTACTCGTCGCTGAAAAACTCGGCGAATGTCCGGGTATGGATAATTGCAGCGGGCGATCCATTTTAGCAGGTGTCGAGCTTATGAAACATGTGAGTTTATATTAAACCATATGAGAGAAAGTAGCACGGAATACCAATATTCATTGTTTATAAGAAGCTCTAGAATTTCCTTGCATTTTAAGGAAAATCGTACGGACTCAGAGAGTAAAATTTTAGAAACACTTTAATGCCCAAATGACATAAACGATTCAATGCAGTAGTTCTCATAGGGGATGAAATTACCCATTTTGGGTAATTTGGAGATGTGAACGGGGTCAGGAAATTAGTATTGAGTGCAGTTGTTATTTAATGATAGAACGCCATTGTGATGGTGTTTTTTAACTCAGATATGTAAATGCGGTTAGTTAATGGCAACACTCTTCATTTTCCTATGAATATCATTAGCTCGTGCCGGCCTAACAGGGTTTTGGATGTGAAATTGAATAAAATTTGGAATAATTTCGGTTTATGGGTATGGAAAAATTTCGCTTGTTTTAACAGTGTTTTCATTTTTTTCCTTGCTGCTGCAATCGCTCTCATAACTTTCATCACCCAAAGTGTTCTCTTTTGCTAATTTCTCATTCATTTCACACAACAATTAAAGTCAAATTCTCATTCTATCACATACACTTTATAATTGATCATTTAATTGTCGACCGTTATTGAGCAACAATATTCGATTGTTGTATTGTTGACTTCGGCTGTCAACACTCGTCAACGTAATCAGTAAATAGTATATGCTACAGAATAAGAAATTGTTTCGAACTGTGAAGTGAAATGAGACGAAATGAATGAGAAATACTCATCAATAGAACAATAAATGCATGAAATAGCTATGAGAGTGAATACAACACGTCTGAAAAGAATGAGAATCCATCTGAATAAGTTTGAAGTGAGCGTGTCATAGACAATAGTTTTTCATGCAATCATAATCGATCTCATGAACATTAATAACTAAATCCACGTCTAACGTCAGGAACAAACGGAAAACCGTTTGTTCCTGACGTTATACGTGGAAATAGTAAGTTCTTGTATCAGGGTGTAACGGCGGCCTACTAGATCGTCAAAAAGGGTAACTGAGCACCCGAACGTGGAAACCACGGATTTAATGAATTAAAATAGTATCCAATTTAAGACAATAGTACAGTGGATTGTTTCTAGCGTTCAGGAAATCGTTCGAATAATTCAGGTAATGCAGAGCCAGCTTCAGTCTGCAAATAGTTCGAATTAAGAAGATTAGAACGACTGAATCGACTCCTTCATTGTTGTTTTCGGTGAACGAAATAATTTATAACATCAAGATGTTTGCGATTGCTTGATAGAGCAAGATATGAGCTGAAGGGAAGGGAAGAATGCATACGTGTTTCGTAATCGATCGGAATGATTCACAAGGAATTGTTCGTAAGATGCATTGCAAAGATAAAAAATTATTTATTTCATGGGTATATGCTATCAAGATAGCACTCACGTGAATTATTTGCTTGCTCTTATGGCCGTTGTTGTTTGTCCATGCACACTCAGCCATAGTTTTATGCATTCGAAATACACTTAAATGCATTTGATGAGATAACAAAAGCACTGAAAGCACTGATCACTCATTGCAGCGGGAGATGATTCCATTGAAAAGGGTTGTAACATGCGATCTGTTAAAGTTTGGGAGATGATACATTTTTCAGAACGAAATTCGAAGAATTATTACGACATTTTCGAAGCTACTTACCTAACTCAGCAATATACCCAAGAAATTGAATTTCATTTGTGACCTGGTGCAAAATCGAAGCGGTAAATCACACTGAGGGCAAAACAGTGATCTAAAGAGCAGTCACATCGACCTCAGAGAAACCCCTCCCGGGCAATTGTCTTCCGTTTCTACCTCGGGAACTGCGTTCGATAACGATCATGATGATGCTGGCTGTATTTGGATGGATTGCGACATCACTTGCAATGTCGCTGTCATATGCTGGTATCAGACGTAGTTTATCAATGCTATTTGATGAGGTTCGCTTAAATATTCATTAATGATTTTATAGCGTGCAATTACATCATTTATTTCAAATTTAGGGAACATTAATACTTCGAACGTTTTCGTTGATTCGATCTCTTTCATCAGCAAAAATGAATTTCAAAATATCGACAAAGTCTCATCAGGCTCACCAGAGTTTTTGATATAAGTTGATATAAGTTTGATATATGATCGATTATAAATTGATATAAGATAGTTTGTTGCGAGAGTTTCGTGCACCTCATCCTCGGGATTTTCAAAACAACTGTATTTTCCTAGCCTTCGACTGTAAATTTCGTCTTCGAATCTTTTTCCGAACCGTCCCCCCCCCCTCCCTCCATCCCAATACGATCATATGAAGCATACGGTGTTCCTGTGTAATAGCAATGTCCGAGTGACTGCTGCTTCTAGTTCAGCTAACTTTGAATGGCAGTGATCATCTTCATAAAACAGTGAGCACTTCGCGAGACCACGAACGATATAGATCACGTTTCCGCTCCGAACCGTTATTCAACTATTATAACATACCCTCAAGCCGCTTCCATTGAAAGCATCCGCAAATCTTCAGCACTTCAGTGCGCTACAAAATTATTTTAAGTGTTGAATTGGTGGTTGTTCAATCAGGATTTCCAGTTTAATAAGTGAAAAGTGAATACAAAACCACGACAGTGTATGCTTTATTATATTACATTTGAGATACGAACTGGCAAGCGAGGCATGGAAGCACAGCTAACAAAGTACCATCGAGAGGAATGCTATTACAGATCAAATACATTCCGGAAATCGACATTGTTAATATTTTTGTTAAGATCATTATTGTCATTACTATTATCAGTTACTGATATTTTTTGTCACAATAATTATTTGTACAACGCTTGATAGTTGTGAGGTAACGGAGTCATTATTCATGATTCATTCTGCTGTTGAATGAACAATTCGTTTTATCCAGCTGAGGTAAGGCACAACCATTGTGTAGATACCCGGTCGACCACGCAGAGCACAACCATCGCCCCAACTGATCACGCCAGCCAAATAGTAGAGTTCTGAAATGAAGAGGGTAACTTAGTTAACTTACACTCCTTCATCCGCGTGAACGCTGCTGCGTTTCGTGAAAAACCCGGTACCAAAATGGCGATTTAGAACATGGGAACAAATCATGCAAACCTTCATGATGAGTTGAGCTAGGATGGAGCAACTGAAGTGCTCTTCACAACTGTTCATTAGGACAAATCATTAACGCTCATATCTCATGAGCACATTATGAGAAATACCGAGAATACGGAACAAGCTGACAATAAGCGGTTACCATCAATCTGACATGCAAACGGTCCTCCAGAGTCTCCTTGACATGTATCAATGCCACCACTCAAATAACCTGCACAAAATGCTGACGAACTAATAGACTGGTAGACTTCAGAGGATTCGAGGCATTCATCACGATTCAAGATCGGTATCGTTGCTGCTTGTAGTATTTTTGGATAATCCACTGACGACGCTGCAAAAACAAGCAATTAGTCACTTTTTCGACAGTCACCACTTTGTTACTATCATTGTCATACCTTCGCCAAGTCTCCCCCATCCTGAGACAACGCATTTTCTGCCCGGATGATAGTCAAAATCAGTGGTTGGAAGACATATCGGTTGAACAAATTTGCCAAATCGAATACTTCGATTGACCTCTACCAATGCAACATCGTCAGCGAATAGATCTGAAATTATTCATCTATTCAGCTCAACGCCAAATCATTTGTAATGTTCTAATGGAACTGTATTGTGCACATGATTTTAACATCGCTACGTAACTCTTTGCTATCGTATTCTTACAAAGTATTCTTCGAACGACTCTTTGAGACTATCTGTTGAATACAATCATCATAATTCTTCATGTGCTACTGGTCTTCTGTTCTTAAGACGTATAATCTTAAGATATAGAATCCAATCGCGAAAGTACCGAAATGCATCGAAATAATCGACTGATGGAGAGTGGCTAAATGAACAGAAATAATCAGAAGAGAAACAATACCTTTATAAGAGGGATACTTAATAATACGTGATATATTCAGAATCTGTTCACTCCCTTCCTCCTCGATGATATCCCAATCACCAACAATTACTTCATAGTGAGTCGCGTCCGAATTCTCGCTGAAGAAAACTTTTGGAACTTAACTAAAAACGTGTTTAAAATGAGTCGGAAATGTGTTATGTTTTCTATGCGATGCACGCGAATTAAGCGCATCGGTCAAGAATAGCCCTTCAAAAAATGCATTATAGGAGCGAAAATAGGTGGCAAAGTGTGATGATAATATTCAACTGGATTGTTTATTTAAAGAAGAATAGCGAAGGGATCTTAAAGATCACATCAAAAGTGATATCAAGAAAAATTCTTGTCACATTTGCTAAAGCCACCATACCAACGTCGAAGTAGCTATACGATGTTGCGGCAAATAACCCGATTAACGACCGTGATCACTGACTGACACATTCAAAGAAATGACTAACTCAAAACAATGCGCCGCAGTCAGAAGGAATCTGTCGGAAAGAATTGAAGCACCACAATGAAGTCTGTGATCGCTTTTCATGTGTAATGCTGCAGTCCACGGGAATGCAGCCGGTACAGCATCGAATCCACCGACGACACGAGCGTATCGATGCTTGCGTGGATCACGCGCTACCATATCCACATAACGTGCACCACATGTTGGAGCATCTCAAAATTGGTCATTTTCTGATGAGTTGACATGATTCATTTAGTGCAATGGTTCTCATCATCGGATGCTCTATTACCGCTTTTCATGATCTAGCAGGCCGCCGCTATCCCCCCTGCCCCCTATTAAATGTGGAAATCGCACATGTTATGCTCAGATGACCGTTACGTTCAATCTTATTAGCACGTCCATGATGGTAATCGACATAGCTGTACCTCCTTTTAGACCGTTGCGTTCCGCAGTATTGCAATCGATTATGATTGCATGAAAAGCAATTGTCTATGACACACTCACTTCAAACTGATTTTTGTATTCTCATTCTCTTCGGGCGTGTTGTATTCACTTTCATAGCTGTTGCATGTGAATACCGTTCTCTTGATGAGTTTTTCTCATTCACTCCGTCTCATTTCATTTCACAACTTCTTATTCTGTAGCATGTACTATTTACTGACGACTGTTGACAGCCGAACTCAACAATATAACAATTGAATTGAATTGCTCAACAATGTTCGACAGTCGAATAATCAATTATGGAATGCATTGTATAGAATGAGAATTTGACTTGAACTGTTAAGTGAAATGAATGAGAAAATAGCACAGGAGAACAGTTTTGGTGATAAAAGTTATGAGAGCGATTGCGACAGCAAGGAAAAGAATGAAAACCCTGTTAAAGCAAATGAAAACCCACACGAGCTAATGATACTCAGAAAATTGGAGAATGAAGAGTGTTGCCAACAACTAACCGCATTTACATAACCGTGTTAAAAAACACCATCACCCAAAATGGGTAATTTCGCCCCCTATGAGAACCACTGATTTAGTGGAAAAGCTATAAGTCAATGTGAACGACGAAATGAACCGTTCTCAGATGAACACTGAAGACGAGCATATGAGTTTCTGCAATTTTGCTGTCCATCCAGTCGGCAAATGCTTTCACTACACTTGATTCGCCATCCCATCGTCGGGTTCAGCTCATTTGTCGTATCCGCAATAACATTTGTTCTATTCCTGAATACATCAAATATTAAATACTCATAGTCATCTATATGAGATATTGCATAGTCACGCCTCTTGCTTGTTTTCCATGAGAATATTCAGTTGACCTTTTGAGAAGAATACAAATAGTATAAGCATAGTTTGTTTGAATAACTAGCAAACAACAAGGGTTACTACCTTGACCGGATGAGTTTGCAGAGAGTAGGAACGTGTGAATCACTTAAGGAATCTGCGCAAACTGGTTGCCAGACGTCGTCGAATCGAACCTCGAGCCGACCTCTGTTCGTCTGAGCAATAATAACAATCCGCCACTCAATATCTGCAAATTTGTTGATTTTTGGCACTCAGAATTGTGGATTAATGGACGATGCTTACCGAATGGAAGTTTAGACTTGCAATCGAAATCCACTGACGAGCTTAGTCGGAAAGAGAAGAAAACTTTTAGTGACATGAATGCGGAGTATGTCAACTATAACTCACCTTCACAATGGTGTTCATCATCACCGGTTGCGCAATCGGGACGAGAATCGCAAACATTCTCGACACTGATGCATTCACCAGAAGCACACGCAAACTTTCCAGCACCGCACTGGTTACACTGAAGGGATTGTGTGCATGAATGGATATCCGGCAGTGAGCAGCTCGATGACCGAATACATTCAATCGACCAGTGTGACCCTCTTAGATGAGCACCCACATTACGAACACTCCTGCAAATGGTTTAGGATGAATGAGCAGGATTCATTCCTTATGAATGACTTATTTGAGTCCAAAACTAGAACCGATTCTGAGAACAATCACAAATTTGCTTCATGAGGTGACTCGATCAACTGGAGAACAATGAAAAACTCACTGATATCCAAATTTCTCACAGACGTATCTCTCATTTGATCGAGTATAATTGATGGAGCAAACTCCGGCCCAAATCGATGATCCCTTTCGCAATTCGAGATAGCCGTTCGAGAGACGGGATGAAATCGACTCTTAAAATCGGGGAGTATTTTATTGGTCGGATGATTGTTCCTTGAATACATCACACTTCTAATCAGTCTCCAGGACGACTGATCAGAAGCGTGTTCTTCAAGTTGAGAAGTTGTGTATGAAAATCGAAGATTATCACACAAACTTCGCGTTGAAGTAATTTTCCGATGACTTGGTATCGTTGATGCGAATCGGACAAAGGCGCAATCAATGAAACCAAAAGAGTTGTCATCAGTAAAGCATTATCACTTTTATTATTAACGCTGACCTCTGCCAGGATGGAAGATTCGCGTGTAGAATGTACTATTGAACTTGGGACGTAGCGATGTGGATGAGACACCTCTGGCTAACGCGCAAACCCTCGCAACGACATTATAAGAAAATGAAACACATTCGAATGTTTCACTGCTCAAACAACGATGAGCACACTGCAAACGATTCTTCTCAGTTTACTTGCATTCGTCTCACTTCCAATAAACAATCCATAAAAAGGTCATATTCAACAATCAAAATGTGTGACACTCACAACTTGAGGATGTGGAACATGTGTCCATACTTCAACTATTGAATCACTTAATTCGGATTCACCAACTTTGGTAAAATTTCTAAGCCAGTCGGCTGCAAAGAAAATTATTTATTTGAATGACTGAATATCTGATGGTTGTTTGGTGGCATGAACTGCACGTGTGAAAATCCAATGGTTTTCTTTAGGCAATAAGTAGGCAAAATTTCAAAGGAAGAAAAAATGATGCAACATACGACAGTTCATCTCATCCCACCCATTCGGACAATCAGTCTCATAATCACACAGAAATTCCACATCAACACAGTCTTGACTGTCACCGCATCGCACCTCTCCGGCTGGACAGCTCGAGGCAATCTCGTCTGAAGGACAAATTTTTTTAAACGATTCGTTATCGTCATTAAAGAAAGAACAGAACGGAATAAATCAATAGACCCAACGGGGCATTCATAGAATGTTCTTCATGTTTCAATTGCACAAACCGTCAGTATCGCATTTCAGTTTCACTCCATCGTTACAGCTTTGAGCCGTGAGCACAGCACAGCTCCTTAATCCACACAGCACGTTCACGACTGATCGATTCGTAAGTGAAACTTTTTCCGCATAAGCAACCTTACTGCAAACTTGATTCATTTAATGTGTCACCATCAGACTGAAATCGTGATTGAGTGACGATCAGTTTTCATATTTGTAAACTTTCCTCCATGATCAGCCGCTGATCATGTTCCTATCTGTTGCCTAACACATCACTCAGACAGGTGCTGTGCTATCAGTCTTATGCAGTACTCTGTTCAGTCTCAAATATGAGGTCGAAGTTTTCGCAAAACGAACTCTTTGGCAATAAATATTGTCATTCAACTAATTTTTCATTCACTGAATGCAATCGTCACTCGACCACTGGTGAAACTACTCATTTATACGATTCAATTCAGGTTGTTGAAAGGGATATAAACAAGCGATTTGAAAAGGATCACAAACCCGCTTCATTCAAAGTCACATCTCACTCGAATTATTAACAATCATTCATTCGTGAATATAATGACTCAACACGATTCACTTTCATAATTTATGCGCGTGTAATTTGTATTGTATTGTTCGAGAATGTGTATTCACTCAATTCACCATTTGGTTGCTCGTTAATGCGAAAGAATCAGACGAATCAAAAGTTCCGGCAACATTGCAATTATCAGTTTAAAATTCTTTTGAACAGTCACAGCAAGAAGCTCTATGGGAACAACCGATTAGCATAGATCATTCAATAGATTACATGACAATGGTATGACTGTTCATTCACAAAATATCACAAACAGTTTGAAAAATTCACAAAAATACAATAGTTTGAACAGAAATATTCTAAATGGAACTGACACAGAATAATGATATTTTCGGCTGAAATTTTGTTTCAAAAAGATGCCATTAAATGATCTCAAAGACCGAAAACTGCCACCTGAGTTGCGTCGAATCGAGAAAACTATCATAGAGAAGATCCACCATCTTACGCTCTCAAACTGAACTTAATTCTAGACTGTACCTTAGAAAGATGCTTGCCAGCTTTTGACAAGGATACGGACAAGGCAAGGATACTCACCTAGAGCCGAGTTGTCGGCAGATAAAATCACCGATACGCTTCGAGTAGGAATCGAAGCATACTGCTGAGGATATTGCGGGATTCTGTTGATCTACAGCAGTGATGAAATCTAATGGATCGCGACTGAATGTAATAGCATTTGACGGAATGAATAATTGTGCCAATATAAAGAGGTGAATAAAAAATAATTCACAATCGATTAGAAATCGATCAGATAGCATAGCAGATAAACGTGTGGTCAATTGAGCTAATATTGAACAGATACTCGAGTGCAACACAACGAACTTGATGATAAATAAGCGAGCGATGAACTCTTGACGGCGTTTGTTGTGTTGCACTTCCGACAACAAGAACACCACCAATATCACTAACAATTGATGACTGCTTCAACTAAAAGCAGAAAAGACGATCTCCATCGAATTCTATTCAAATGTTTTCATCAAAACGTTTAATTGTTGTAACTAAATCATCGTTATTGAATGGCACCAATGATGACGGTATTAGCAACGATGCTACGGAATTGTCGTCTCTTCGAATGTCGAATGAGAGTTGAATCATTGAATCGCAATCACTCTTTATTGCAGATTTTCAATGCGGCTTTCGAGTTGTTTAAACCGATCATCACGTTTACACAACACCAACAATACAAAAGAGCTATCCGAATGCGAATTAACCAGCAGCTCCCACAAATCCCTCCAACGCCATAAATGTGCTGCAGACAGTCTCATCTCGTCTCGTTATTTTCAGTCACCGATGTGCATGTGCACAAAGCTGAAAGCATACTTCCGGATTTTTGGTAATTGCAGTGGGCTTTACATGAAATGTTTTCATGTTAGCGTCACTGAAGCTTCCACTGAACAAAACTTCATCTGACCGGAATTCGTCAGATGGAGTATTACAATGACATGTGTACATTCACCACAATGCGATATGCATTCCCAACAGAATTTGTCCTATTCCTGTTGTTTTGTCGTCCATTTTCCATATTTTAATTCTGTGTTTGTGAAATGGATTTCGGACTGTATTCCGTTTATGCAATTCATCTATGAGCACTGTTGGTTTAAGAGCTTTGGTTTTAAAAAAATCGAAAGAATGAAAGTACATAGTCGTTTTAGTCACGAGCGCCACCAACATTGCATCTACCAGTCTTTGGTAAGTGATCATTAGCTAATGCAGTATCCGTGTCCATCAAAATGTCCGTCCCGATGAACGGATTTTGCAGTGAAATGCGATGTTTCACGATTAATGATCTTGTTGAGATATTAATGAGACAAAACAGTGAGATGCGCATTGAACGAACGCAAATAAATGAACACGAATAGGAGGATGAATTTGTGTACGCATGAATTGGGTAAATAAACACAAGGAAACAAACATGAATGAGTATCAATCGAAAAATTTGGAACGCTTCACGAATTTGCGTGTCATCCTTGCGCAGGGGCCATGCTAATCTTCTCTGTATTGTTCCAATTTTAGTATATGTTCATCGGAATGAACAATTTTTAACCGTCATAAGTCGCTCATATATAAGGCTGTGGCAATTGAACGCATTGACGAGTGGGTTGAGGGCAGAGAAAAACACAACATCTCTCATGCGATCGAACGCGTTTTACACTGATCTTTCATGTCGCTCTATAAATGGCACACGCCTAGTCTTGAATGGCGTTTTCAGTGAACACATCAGAAGGCTTATCCGTTTTCTTTGTTTCAATGTAGGTACAGTTATCAACCCTTTTGCTTAAACAACGAATTGGATTAATAAAATTAGTCCATTAATTCGATTAAACAACGAATTCGATTAAAATTAATAAAAATCAAGTTCAAGCTCGAACTCAGCAAAGAATTCGATAAAACCAAAAACGAGAGAGGACTGTTGATTTCAAAATGAAAAGCGCTTGAGATGCTAGGGCAGCAAACATTGGACATCGGTTTTACGACGTTTAGTGCAACAAAGAAATGTTGTGTTAAAGTGATTTATTCTGATAAGTACTTGAAAAAACAAACGCATATTATATCATAAACGAATGCACTTAAAATTATTGAATAGTAATATCTATAAGTTTGCATTAAAAAAGATATATTTTCGATTATGAATCTTAAAAATCTATTCATAGAATCTATACTATCAGAACAAAAACAATCCAACCTTATCAGATTTCCTGTTTATGAGAACAGATTTCCAAATGAAGTATAGGCAAACATGAAATGGCTGGTGCTTACTCATTTGAGTTGTTCGTTAAATTGACATTTCACACTGACATAGGGAAAGATTTCTCAGTTCATCCACACGGCTTTGTCACAATTGACTTTGTGAAGCGTAGAAGACAGAAAATTGAAGAAACTTCCTCGTTCAGTTTTCGAACGGAGGGAAGTGTGAAACATCAGTGATGCAAATGATTATTTAACGCACTTTATTCTGTACAAATCGAAGCAGCAGCATATCAGCTCGATCAAACATCAATTATGTATGCGTTGGAAACACTTCATTGTTTTTAAAATTGTGTACGCAGTGAGCAGTTGATAGAGTAATTGGTAATCGGAACCAGCAAACAAAATTGTCGACTGTTACTCATAAAAAAGCACATTCAAAATTGCACGGGATATACGACGACACAGATATTCATGAACGTGATCAAATACATTCCCGGAATATTTTAACATGAACAAAAACATGATTTACATCAGGATTCCAGTCTCTTTTGAGTATTTTATCAACGGTGGAGAGGGCCAACCTCAGAACAAGTTCACGAGATCTCTGTTGTGATCTATAAAGTTTTTTTTGTTGCAAAACAGATACTCAAAACCAACGGGTTTCTTGTATTTGTAGAATGCTCCAGATCATTCACTGAATTCCTCGTAAATGAGGGGTGGGGGGAAGGATAAAGCCATTCAGTGCTGATAAAAACCCAAAATTGAATCAATCCGTATTTCCACCAAGTATTCGAGTGAACACTTTTAATCGATGAATTCGTTTTGTTTTTTTGTTTGTTTTTTTTTTGAAAGCGAAGTAAAATGGTTGATTATGTATGCGACCAGATTGCATTCGTTGTTTTCGGTACAGCTCGTGCCGTAGCAGTGACCATCGATGACATTGCAACAGTGTTTCCCCTCTTCGAGCACTTAAAAAGCCTTCTGACTGCATTGCCGATGTCCTGTTGACGCCAATAGAGGATTGAGATATTCGGAATGGAATTGAGATTAATAGCAATCACCGTGAACTGATTAATCTGTCCACTCAATGCGGATTTTGTGTTTCTGGATAAATAGAATACATAAACCGGAATCACGTATAGAACAAACGTGAATATGCATGAAATTGCCATTGTGGCTGTAAGCTGAGCTTGTCGTCGATGAAATCTTCGCAGCACATTGCCGGCATCACTCTGCAAATTCCATCGTATTGGTATGAGATGAGCTATTCCGATCATAATCACCAGTTGTTTTTTTTTTCAGCTGACTAAATTGCAGTCAGTCATCAATGCAATAGCGATCAATCTATTGCTTGAAGCAGTTATCGAACACGAAACACAATCGCACACACAAAGTATTCACCATGTCGGCAATACGTTTTCGGTATCTTCGTGTCAAAAGAAACGCAGTCAAATAGAGCAGAATCGATAAGAGCGCTGCACTCATCCGTATGAAACCAAATATTCGATCATATACCGGAAGCATGCTTTCAGTCGTCCTGGAAAGTTCACCAACTTGAACATGAGCAATTCCAATTGATCACATCCTAGTATATCAGACGTTAGGTGATATTTTCTGAATGATTTGTAATTTCTGCGATAAACTTCAAAGAGAGTTCGGGTGAACGACGAACTTCGCGACACCACAACAAGTTATAGTAATACCAGAAAAATCCTCACACCATTATGAAATTAAACCTAACCAGCATAAAGGAGAAAAATTATTTGCCGTATCTTGAAAGGATGCCGTCCAGCTGAGCGCAATAAGGATGAATATTACGATATTACCAATGGCAATCTGCAATTGGCGAAAACATGTCAAAACCATTTCGATAACCATATTCGTTAGAAAATTGATGTATGCTTGGTCCAGTCAAAAGCTTTAAACATAACTACTTCTTAGTAGCCGAGAAAGCCGAAAACGAAGTTTCACTTTGTTCTATGCTCAATTGGTCAGAGTTCCTGAAATTTGTTGTCATGATTGCCCTCAGTTTGCATGACTGACGTTCATGAAAGTCAAACGCTTTGATGGAATATAATCGAATCGTACCAAAATACCAGTTCCTTTCAAATTCTCTCTCGTCTAGAATCAGCAAAATGAATATGCGAATTATAGCCCGTGTTATTGGTTGACAACGATTTTTTGTGGCTAGCAGCAACATTAATGATGATATTCATCGCAATGCTCATCACAAGCGCCATTGATTAGAATATTATTACGAAAATAATAACAAAAGTGTAACAATGCCTTCTTGATTATGCACACGATTTTCGTGAAAGAATCACAACGATTTTACGAAACAACAATAAGAATCATGAACATCTAAAATCAACTGATTTTGACCTCAATGGCGCATATGCTTTACTACCGTATAATTTATGCTCATACTTTTCATACTAATTTCAATTTGAGAATATCTTGCATTGAATAAAAGATTTCCTATCCAATAAGAATTCAAACTGACATTAGCGATTTGAAAGGTTGTTGATTTTTTGCAATAAATTATCGGAAACATAATTAGGAGCAGTCGTTCGATGCTGATCATCAACTCAGATGCTGCAGTCATTGGCTGTGCCCTGTAAGCAATCAAAAATTAGTGTTTCCAACATAAACTTAAAGTGATGAATAGTCAATGAAAAATTTTTTGAATCATTCTGGGCGTGAACGCTATTCACTAAAGAGGCATTTTATAAATAATCAAATCATTCACCAGATCATCAAAACGTTCCAAGGCATCATTGCGCAGTGACCACGAGTTTGATGCTGATCCGGATCAATCTTCGATAGCTGCGTGATGCGCATTACACCGGCAATAAATGCGGCTAGTGCATAAACAGCTGCAGCAAATATCTAAAAATTTGGTTCTTCATCTGAGCATTGATTCTTTGAATAGTTTTAAAGATGGTCTTCTGAATATACAGCTAGAGGTCCTTAAAGAATGTACAGCGATAGGCCTTTCGCAATATACATCGACAAATCCAGCGATGTGGCAGCAGAAAAGTTTTTCATTTCTAAAGCAGATTGGTCGAACAGAGCAAAAAGGAGTGCTATAAAGATAAGTGGAACCCAGTCATACAATATGCCCTTCTGGATTTCCTCCAAAAAATGGTTCAAATGTTTTGGAGATGGACAAGTACTTAATGCGAATCATTTCAGCGATGAACTTACCTGCAAAATGATGACGCAATAACGAGAGATCAACTCACGATGACGGCACAGAGCCAATAGCACGATCAGATCCAAAAAGAAAACTACTGTGCCTTCTACAATATAGGCGACGAAGAACCATGAGAACATTTTGAATAATTTGATAAGTCCGTTATGAGACTGGAATCTGCTCTAATTGCTTATGTTGCTCTGATATATATTCGTGAGCTTCCCACAATACTCTCACCAACAAAAATCCATCAAATTATCATGGTTACCAGCAAAAAATGATCTGAAAGCTTCAAACTCGTGAGCAGCTATTCAAGTGCTCGCAACAAGTAACGAATACGGTTATACGGTACCATCGGAATTACTGTTGTTGTAGTTGTTCAAGAGGAGGTTCGGGCTGCCTAGAATTGATGAAAAGTGAACGTTTACTGATATTGCTGCTATTACGGTGAGCGATGCTGCATTGAGGTTCAAACAATAGTGTAGCGATTGAATAGTTTCGAAATATTAGAAACAAATCATTTCATCACCTCAATACGAGTTGATTATGAATGAACAAGTGTGCATATCCATTAGGGATGCGACAGTGCAATGCAGCTAGCTCACACCAGCGAATGTAGATATAATTAACTGCATTCAGCTTAGATGTAATCAGTCGAGCATCTCAAATCTGACAATTCAACACTTGTTTGTAATTGTTGCTCATGCCAGAGCAAAGCACTGTGTCGTTCAGGGAATGTGTGATGTTTCTTGACAAGCTATGAAAGGATCATGTGAAAACGGTCTCACGCGATGGGAAAATTGCCTTCGTTCGGAACAATACACAGGCGTTTCATGCTGTCATTGCACTCAGTGCTGTGAACTGCTTATTTTTTAATGATTAATGAAATGCACAACACCTAAACGGATGGGCAAATTGGTCTGCTTTCGAGAGGAAGATCACTGGTCTAATTAAAAGCGCCAGAGGGCTCCACCTCAGATGACTACACAAGAGATCTTGACGGGTTTACTTGGGAACGGATGCTAAAAAATGATTCGATTGATGAAATCTTCGTGGATAAATGAGAATCAAATTTACTTTAGCTCTGTTGATGTGACCAGGGCTTTAGTGGTCTGTACTATATCATTCATATAGCACATGTAGTACAGACGCTCTGTACTACATGTACTAAATTAATGATGGTTCATTACTGTCTTCAGTGGTTCATTACTATTATTCAAACGAAGAGAAATTTTCTGCTGTTGATTGATTGCACTTCATAAAACAAGTTTTATTCGAACAAGACAAAATCCTTACTGATCGAACATTGCACTCAAATCAGTCATAATTCTGTATGAGTGATACAACGGCAAGAGTATATAAAGCGATGAAATAATGCACGCAAAGAAGTGACAAATTCGGATCAGGCATTGCTTCCTGCCTCGTTTCAATTCAGTGATTGACGAATGGATTTCCATGACCCCTGTAGAAACCACCGCCATTGGACGATGACGAAACGGCTGAAGAGGCTCGCGGTGAAGCAATGTCTTCGGTCTGCATCAAGCCCGAGCTTCTAGCGAACATTCCCCTTCCGTACATTCCTCTGCCACCGTACATGCCCGAACCCCAGCCGTACCGACCGCCATATCCGCCATATCCACCGTACCCACCGTATCCACCATAAGGATTGTATAAGCCGTATATACCGCTATAACCGCTATAGTATGGGCTGTTCATGAAGCCGGCTGAAAACAATGAGGCGTAACTTCATAAGTTCACAATCACCGAAACGAAACTTATCAAACCTATTGATGTATGTTAAGCAAATGTTCATTGCAAAGAAGTTTATGTTATATTTTGCTCTTTTCAAAGGAATCTCATATTATGATACGTGGTTGATCGACGAACATTTTGAGTTTAGTTTGTGGATGCGGAAACAAAAAAAGTAATATTGCCAGGTACTACTAGCAATATACAATATCATAATATTATATANTTATATATTTATCATAATATTTATTAATACATCATAGTAGTTATTGCTAGGTACTGCTCTTCAAGTGTAAGCTGCTGAATTTGGTGGAATTGATCTTTGAGCGTCAGCTTGATCATAGACGCTGATCTGACCTCACCACATTCCCACTCCAAAAAATTACTGGCTCACCTCCTCCATCGGCTGCCTGTGGGTATGTGTCCCATCGATTGCCAAAACCCATATACGGCATATCATTGGTAAGCTCTTTCAGACCGGCTAAGCCACCCGCAGCATTGCATTCATTCACACTCAACATCGTCAGCAAACACATCAAAGATCCTGATCAAAGCAGACACAGTTAAAGAGAAAAATCAGCGCTAATAATGTTTTGATAGGAATGGAACCTGCCTGCGATCGATTTCGTGAGCAGACAATCTGCCTCTTATTTAGAAGTTTTTGAATTCGAATCTTAACTCATTCCTTCGAACCACTGTCACAAATCTTTCAACTTTCGGCTATTCCATGCTCCATTCATGTTGTTTTGAATGTTCACAATGAAAGGTCAATGTTGAAAGTTGGTTGCATGCGGTTTTATGACAAAGTACGTGTCGATAATGTCAAAAAATGAACAAATAAATTTGTCAACGGACTTTTCAACCTTTCAAAGCGGATCCTTATCAGATGCAAGCTTCTCATTGGAGGAGAATGTTTAATTGAATCAAGTGTAAGAATGTTGGGTTAAACAAAGAATCAAGAAGAAGAAAGAAAGCAAGAAGTTCGTCAACAAACCTCTCGTGATGGCGTTCATGATGAATAACTCGATTGGAGTGACTGTCTGCAGGAAACGATTATACTTTATCAATCAAAACTGAAGACGTTTCACTCTTGTTGTTCCAATTCAATTAATTTATTTGAGTGTCACACCGACAACGATTCGAATTGTTATGTTTTTGTGTTTATTTTGGTATGACGTCGGTGATGATTTTTATACCTGATCAGTTGAATTCAGGTTTTCAAATCTTAACAAGACATTCATCGAATCTCACTCACTTTCGTTGCATTCATCGATCGTGGAGAAAACTACACGAAAACGCGTTAATTGCATCATCATTCATTCCTTCATTTCTTTGTTATGATTTATATCGAACGTCAACGAAATGTTTATTTCCCTCAGAGGAACGAGTAGATTGATGATTCTCCTTCGTCGAATGATGCTTCTTTTTGTGCATGACTTAGGAATTAATGCCGCAGAGAACCGGATAAAACAGCAAACAGATAAGAGGAAACGTATGATTTTTTGTGACTCATTTTGCGAAAGTTTTGGCAGGAAGGCGAACTGATGAATGAGGAGAGATGCGGTTGAAAAATCAGCGTGATGAACGCAGGAATACATTGCATTAATCTAAGGAAAAACTTGAACTCATTTATGGCTCATTCAATTTCACGGATAATGAACGCAGAAACTGCGGTTCGTTGAACCTTCCATCCGAAACACTTTCCTCGCACTTTACTGCACATTTACAAAAAAAAGAGACAGAATTATTCCCTCATATTTGTGACACGGCAAACAAAATCAATTTATACAGTTGATAGAATTAGCCTGCGATAAATTTATTCTATCGCTGCGGTCGATTCACATTACCTTTCTGGGCCTAGCTTAGTTCTTCCCTCAATATTGAGAGCTTTGGCCTCCGTGATAAGAAATTTGCTAATTTTATCAGCTCCTACACTGGCAGCTCACACCAACACACATCCCGAAAATTCGGAAACCAAAATTAAAGGAAGCGTTGTTTGAGACTGAGAAAAACGTGATACTGGCGACGTTCAGAGTAAATGTGAACAATTGTAATAGGTGTGGATGCTTTTATGACTTTCGACTTGTTGATGCGTTGAGAATGAGGACGACATTTTTTAGAAATTAAAAATTTGAGACGCTGAAAGACGAAATGAAAAAATTGCCGAAAATTTTCACCATAATATAATCTTTTGATGATTTGTTATGAACTTGTTAGATCAAATTTGAAATATCTCAATTGAGCAATTCCATTGCTGAAATATTCCAATTTCTGTTGATCGTCACTGAACAAACTCGTCAACAAATACTGCCGAGAGATGACTCATCTAATTTGTTTGTTATTTGCTACCGTATCTTCACATGCATATGCACTGCACTGGAACTGCACAGAAATCTTCCACATTCCACCTTCCTGCTCATATTAAAACTCACTCGGAATAACAACGAAAATTTTATCTCATGGCAGTGGAATTGGCTTGAATTCTTGAAACGACACAATGACTGACTGCATCTCAGAGACGAAAAGCGTTTCCGAATTTTCGCACTTAACAAAATCGTATCATAAAAACATGAATGTGGGAGCTTCTCGCGGGTAATAACATATAATAACTAGTAAACACTACAATACTCGATGTCATAGCAATCTCACGTAATACAATTTTTTTTTCAACACTACAATACAATTTCATATTTGCTAATCGCTAGGGATTGGTTCAGTTAAACTACATCGGTATCACGCAAATGAACGCGGAATTTCAGGGTGAATATGTTATTGCCATAAAAATTATAATGGACATCGCCAACATCTGAGAGATTTTAGAGATTTCAGGCCAAGATGAGAAGAAGGGCAAGGAAATGTTGCTACTGTCAACAGGATGAAGGAGTGTTGACAGTACCCCAGAGATGACGATAGAAGTGAGTAACTTGGAGATGTGATCGTCTTTTGTGACTACAGCAAATCGAATGTGACATTTCAGAGGAACTTATTTGAATTATTTGAAAAGTGCATGATAATTAGGATCGACGTAATCAAATGCATAAATTATTCTTTGCTGACATTCTCTTTTGATGACATTTCGTTGAATTGATGATGCACGCAATTCTTCCCTCTAATTGTAAGATGCATAATTGCACACATACGCAATCGACAATCGTCAACCAGTTTTTATGTTTTTTGTAAATGTCTCACTCTTCAAGAATTCAGCACAATTGAGGCGATAATCTCCAAACGGCCTGGACCGATTACGTTGAGAATCATTTCAAAACACATCTTCCAGATGAGTTACCCCAAAAACCTGTGTTTGCCCGCAACCTCAAGAATATATCTTACAATATCTTATTAGTATTAAATGACATCAGAGCATTTTTGCATCATGAGAAACTAGTCGTGTAGCTGTGGAACACGGAAACAACGTTTTTGTATGCGAATGCGGTAAAGAGGGACTCATGGCAAAAGTTTCACTAATTGTAAATATTGCTATTATTTGAACTTGGAGTTGGTGGGACTCGTCTGTGGATTGTATGATTTTTGATCGAAAGGGCTCACTTCAAACAATTTTCAGCCGAACCATTGACTGACTGTCTTCTGAATGAACATCATCAAGACTTAAGTCTGCTATGAGTTGGCTTCAAATTGAACCAGGCATAATCATAACAAATTAAGGCCTTCATTTTGGTCATGTTATAGATTGATTGCATTCGGTCCATTTTGAAAGCTTTTATTGCATTCACGGCAATACAACAGACCAAAAAAACAATATTTCCAAAGCGGACTGCTACATCAGTGAGTTTCTGCAATCAATTCCATGGCACAAAATCATCTCCTAAAATAAAATGAACGTTCTTCTCCTGGCGAATCATCCAGGACTGAATAATAGAGAGGCCAGTCTGTTGAATCGGACCACTGTCGTGTTTGGTCGATAGCATTCAATGCGAGCGGACCTTTCAGCATTGATAATATGTCAACCAGCTGGGCAGATTCTGGCTCCTTCACTGTCGTACCTGAAGGTGGAATGTGTTTGAAGTTCGAGTTTTTGAAGGGCTGCAAATTTTATTCGACTAAGAAACTTCACTCAACAATATCAGTTCATTAAGCACTCACTTGTTACCGAATGGCAGAGCATTGATGAAACGATCAAAATGCTCTTAAACGACATGGCCATCGCAGGTAGGGTAAAGTGATGTAAAGTGAACTGAAACATAAAGCGAATTAATCACACTGTGCACCAAGAAACGCAAATATGAGAACATCATATCCCGGATGAGTTGTAGGCATAGAATAAGCCATGCAACTTCTGCTCTAACTGCTTTTTCTAGATTTTTTGCAAATATCTGAGCACAGTCGAATATTCTGAATATACACTCTTGTTTATGCGCTCGATAAACCACACCTACGATCCGAAAAGCCGCGCAAATGCACCGAATTAAACAACGCTTATCGAATTTTGATCGATAATCTTGAAAGGCTGATAAAAATTGGTGAAGATGCGGCAATGAGCACATTAAACAAAATTACAATGAGACACTGAAAGTGTTGGTTGCAATTTATATGCTTGCAGTAGCATGAAAAAGAACAAAAGGCACTTGAATGCATATCCTTTTTCGTCATAAGAAACTCAGTCTCGAGGAACAGCTGGGATCTGAACATTAGAAATGAACAGTTATTCCTACGCAAGGATAGCTTTCGCACAAAAACTAATCGTTTCAGCTAAATTCATCAAAAAATAATGGAATGCCTCCGTACCATCTCATTGTCAGGCACATAAGAAAGCATATTGTAGGTAGCTTCATTGAAGGAGCGTGCCATGAATCTTTCTTCATTTGCAACCGATAACTTTCAGTGACCGACAAATTTCAACGCGATCCTTATTTTAGGATCGCGTTGAAATTTATCAAGCACGAATGAACTGATTGAATCTTATATACTACTGAGTTATCTCTTCGGAATACCTCAGTCTTGCAAATTTTTTTGCGACTCTTCGTTCATTCAGCATTTTCGACATGATCAAAGTGCCTAAGTCTTCAACAAATGGAAAGGGGAAAGGAAACCAGCAGAGAATCGGTCGAGTCTTTTGTAAACGGATGAGGTTTCGGCTATTCGCAGCTTTTGCTTCGGACGGCAAACACAACCATTGCTATATTAATTCGGAACAATAAGATAAACTCCCTTTTATAAGAGAACAAATAAAGTCAGTCGATGAACATATGAAAGATTCATCATCATTGAGACTACGAAAGACTAATCAAGCATGAATGAATCTTCAACCACACTAACTAGTAGAGTAGAACTGAAAATTTTTTGAGATATTTTCCACTTAAACCTTGATTCTGAGTAGACTAAAAAAACTGCTGGTTTGATCAAAGCCATCGCGTGACTGATATTTTTCTCTTTAATGAAAACATTCGGTTGTGTAACTCTGTGAGAAAGTTTACTGGACAATGTTTGTGGAGCGAGTATGCACTTATTAATACTTCAGCATAAGGTTTTTTCAAATTGAATATTAACTAACTATTTGCCATTTGGTAAACTCATCATATCGCGTGACATTTTACCGACTCATTTGAAAGAGATCATAGGATTATGAACCTCATCAAAAAAAGTTAAGCTTCCATAACAGAAAGGAAATGAGGAAGGCTCACTTTCTACTGATAACTTCAAAAAATAAAACTTTAAATACTTCGTTATTGGTGTCATACTACTGCTTGTAAATTCTTGACAGCATTGCAACAAGTCATTATCGAATATTTCGGCTAAAAATAAGGAAACGCTTCTTAGAAACTGTTTATTGTTTTTCATAGAGGCCAATATCGATTCATATCATTCATATACACAAAAAACGTACAATACGTATGATAATTCCAAAAACTAAATGAAATCTCATGTTTCATTCACTTTGTAAACCAGCGACACGACTCAGAACTTCTTCTCGTCTCGGTTGCCTCTTGGGCGTATCTGAAGATTTGATGGGCACTGCTTCCTTCTTCTCTTTTTGCGAATACGGATAGATTCCTGATCGCCTTACACCGATTGGGTTCAAAAGATTCCTGCCATACAACCCATATCCGGCATTTTGAGCGTACATACCCAAGTTGGTGCCCAATTCAAGACCAATGTTTGATAAACCGCCATAATTTGGATTCATTGCAGTTCCCATACCGTATCCGCCACCATAGCCATTTCCGTGACTGTTATCGAGGGCGTCCATAAGCCCCACTCCGTAACCGTTCAAACCAACACCTAAACCAGCATTCAAACCTAACTGAGAGCCAAAGCCATAGTTAGAGCCGAGTCCGTACGGTCGGTAGAGTGAATTCATTCCATACGGATGACCCATCAAGCCTTCTGTTTGATATCCTGAACTATATGACTTGATGTTCGTATGAATGCAACTAAACTCCTTCACTGATTGGTCCACGGTGATGAGGATACAAGAAATTTAAAATATTTCAACTCCAAATTTTGATAATACATCAACTTAAACGTTTCACCAGAAATCGTTGTGAAAATCACATTCTATTTTTTTTCGTCTGATTCCAGATGCAATTTTGTGATGACCAATTTCGGGCACTAAGCGGACAAGCTCAAAGTAGATAGCAATGAATACGTCCCACAAGTACTAAGAAAAATGTACGCTTGATTTTGAGTAAATTTTGGAATCAGGGCCTCTTGCGAATGCAACGAATCATTCAACAAACCTGCACCGGCGTTGTTTAAAAGTGGATTCAGAAGCGCATCACTGCTAAGGCCCGAACCCATTCCGTAAAGATCGTAACCAGAACCGACACCATAACCGGATGACAAACTTCCGTAATTGCCGAATGTACCACGTAAGCAACCGGTTCCACACGACTGTGGACAAACACGACGAATGTACTCAGCACCACTTGCACACTGACCGGTACTTGCCCAAATTGCGCACTGTGTACTTTGGTCCTGGCAGCTGTTGAATGCCGTCGGAAGTAATGAAGTTCCAATTGGGCTGCTTAATTTATGTCAATTTATTTCCTTGCTTTTGATAGTGGAGCAATATGTTTACGAAAGGTGAGCAATTTCACCTCCCCGCTGTAATAAAGGGAATATTGTGCTGATATCGTAAGGATATCGTGAATCGAGCGGAGGGTTTCTTCTGCAGAAATGTATTTCTCTAGCATAATGGTTCTCACGTTCGGGTGCTCCATTACCCCTTTTGGTGATCTGGCAGGCCTCTGTTACCCCCTCCCCCCTAATATAAGAACTTATCATTCCTACATATAACGTCAGGAACACACGGAAAGCCGGTCCAGAAATTTCTTAACGGTGTGAAAGAAATTAGTGTCTTAGATCGTTGTGTTGATCATTATGCAATCGACTATGAAAAGCTATTGTCTATGACATGCTCACTTCATACTGATTCAGATGGATTCTCATTCTTTTCGGACGTGTTATATTCACTCTCATAGCTATTGCATGTGAATACCGTTCTCTTCATGAGTTTTTCGCATTCATTTCGTCTCATTTCACTTCGAATCAATTTCTCATTCAGTAGCATATACTATTTACTGATTACGTTGACGAGTGTTGACAGCCGAAGTCAACAATACAACAACGTTCGAGAGTCAAATGAACAATTATAGAGTGTATTTGATAGAATGAGAATTTGACTATAACTGCTGAGTGAAATGAATGAGAAATTAGCAGAAGAGAACAATTTTGGTGATAGAAGGTATGAGAGCGATTGCAACACCTCGAAAAGAATGAAAACCATGTTAAAACGAATGAAAACCCTCTTACTAGGCCCGGACGAGCTACTAAGACTCACAATCAGAAAATAGGAAATCATAACGTAACATCCGCACGAAAGGCTAATTTCCCGACCCACTCCATTACTCCTGGATACCTCCAAATTACTCAGATTGAGTAATTTCACCCCTATGAGAACCGCTGCTCTAGCATGATGTAATGCAGAACTCACAATCGGTCCCATAACACTGTCATTATTGGGAAAGACTTTTATCACGGTAAACTCTGAGCAAACAATATATTTCCTATTTCACCTACCAATTACCAAGATATATATGTTAGTAAGATTCATGAACTCTATCTATCACAATGATGGATTCATTAATGCGTATCACCAAAATATTGGTGAGTCTATTGCGCATATGGCCGCGAATTGAAAATAAGTTAACTCTAAGGTATTAAAGTGACATTATCAAAGAATATTGGTGATTTCTACTTAGCTCAATAAACTTGCGCCCTCCATATGCAAATTGCTGATGTTTGCATTTCCTTGAAAGAAGAGTTTCAGAATCGATCTGAGGCAATGAACTCACCTCATTCCAGACATATATCCCGAATTGATTCCAAGAGATCCTAAAAGAAGATCTCAATTAAAATACTGATAACTGTTCTCATAGTATCAAAAGCATCTTATTATACTTATTCCGTCTGTTACAATACATTAGATCAGCGTGCACAAAAAGCCTGCTGATATTCCCTCTCTCTAGCCCTAAATAATGCACGACACAACACAAAGTTCAGATTTCGTAACAGGTCCTCTGACATTATTCATGCTATCTATCAGCACATTTTACCCCATCCTCTCACATGTTTACAATTTCGATTTGTTTCAGTTGGATCATAATTTCATAGCACTCATACTTCTCCGCTGATATCTTACCATATCCGTTGTAAAGTGCTGAACCTGTCATCATATTGCACGATCCACTCCCCAACATTCCTCCACCGAACGGCCGACATGTCGATGCGCGATTACAACGTCCACAATTATTACCTATACGAATGAACACCAACAACTTATCGCTCCTATTGTATTTATATGAGGGTGGTGGGTCGCTTAATCAGCGACAGTTTTTGCCGAGAGGGGTGAGTTGAATAACTCGTTTATGAAAAGCATTCACTTTTGGAATTGAATTATCCCCATATAGTGGTAAATACCAAAATACCATTTTGTTGAACGCTCAGAATCGAGCATGATCGCGTGGTTTAATAAATGATCTGAATAAATAAAGAACAAACAGGTTCTGCTCGTAGCAAATATGAAAAGTTTAGTAACAAGTCATTGCATTAGCCCGTAGTTGAAGGCATCAATATGCTTGAACAACAGTCAGAAATTGAATTGCATTTTTAACAAACTCCAAACTTTTGGCATAAACGTTCAGCACTGACAATCATTCGACAATTGCAAAACCTCAAAAAGGTGAAGTTGAGCATTATACCCACCGAAGCTTGCATACGGGAAACCGTAACCATAACCGAGTGCAGAAGACACTGGCAAGATTCGACTGATGATGAGTGCCAAGTAAAGACCTTGTTGACTCAAAGCTGCTGAAAAATTCAAACCAATTTCATGATTGGGACATTGTCCTGTCGGCTCGTTCTCTGCGGAGATAAACTATCATCTATTCAGTGATGAGCCAATGAACTGTTTTGATCAAAGAGATGCTAAGAAATTTCTCTGTGGCAAATTCTTTCACCATAAGGCGTGTTTAAACAAAGGAAGAAAGATTAGGTCGATAGTCTCGCTAATGAGTGCGTAAATGAATCCAGTTTCATTACGCAAAAACTGATAGTAAACTGTGGAGAAAAGAATTTACAAAACAGAAAAAATAAAACATACCAAGTAAATGTTCGCGCATAATTTTTGAGAGTGACCGAATCGTTTACAAAGAACCATCAATGATCTAAAGGGCACTTATATATAGCGTGATGATTGTAAAGTAATGGTTTTGATGTTGGAAATAACTACTACTACTACATTGTTTTGGGATTATCCGTGATGAGCACGCTCGAGTGCATAGATTAATGTACGACGGAACCGGATCATCTGAAAAGCGTACGTGGAGTGACTAACTAGATTGAGGCGCTCATAACTGGACGCCGAAAAGTAGGATACGCTCTAATTGCTGTACAAAAGAAGATTTATCATTGAAACTGTCTCAAAACATGTTTGCGGATATTTTTTTTCGGTGAACTTCATCGCGTTCGATTAACAAGGTGCATTTTGAATTGTAAATGAACGAATGACTGAATAATTCTTCCCATATTCCTCCTATATGGATACTGCTTGTTCTGATGGGTGATTTTATATTTTGCGGATTTTATGAAGTGTGTATCCGATGTTTTAATCCCACTCGTCCCAGGCCTGCTAACCATGGTAAATTTTTGTGTCAAGATACATTGAATTTCATTCAACTGATTTAAACAATTCAGTTTTTCTGGCTCAGTCAACAGCAGTGATATAAGTATAAATTGATCAGTGCAGGCAGATACAATACATTGAAACTATCGGTTCAGCTGTGTCAAATGGCTTCATAAAATAATTAATACTAATACCTCGAGCAATCAATCACTCTTACGACTTTTTTGACACGCTTGAGTACATTGAGGATGCTTCCAGCAGAACAATGCTAAACATCAAATCTGATGATCATTCGTTAGATCATTTGTAGTGGGACTTCAAAAGTCAAAAAATGATTGCATAATTGACTCGGAAAATGAGCGTTCTCTGGGATCAGCGTGCAGTTCTTTAATATTTGCAGTCCAAACTATTTATCAATTATGTTGCTTTAAGACAATGGTTCTCACGTTCGGGTGCTCAATTACACCTTTTGATAATCTGGCAGGCCGCTGTTAACCACTTCCCTCCCTCCCGTCACCCTCAAATTACCCAACACGGGTAATTTCGACTTCCAATGTGAATCACTGTCCTAGACCGCTGTGTTGCTGATCATTGACTATTGACTACAATTGACCATGATTGCATGAAAAGCTATTGTCTATGACAAGCTCGTTTCATACTGATTTAGACGAATTCTCATTCTTTTCAGACGTGTTCTATTCACTTTTTTTGTTCTATTCACGTTCTATTCACTCATAGTTATTGCATGTGAATACCGTTCTCTTCATGAGTTTTTCGCATTTATTTCGTCTCATTTCACTTCACAGTTTGAATCAATTTCTCATTCAGTAGCATATACTATTTACTGAACACGTTGACGAGTGTTGACAACCGAAATCAACAATACAGCAATCGAATATCACTGCTCAACAACGTTCGACAGTCAACTGATCAATTATAGAGTGTATCTAATAGAATAAGAATTTGAATTGAACTGTTGAGTGAAATGAATGAGAAATTAGCAGAAGAGAACAATTTTGATGATAAAAGGTATAAGAGCGATTATAACATCCCGGAAAAGAATGAAAATCCTGTTAAAACGATCCAATGATACTCAGAAAATGAAGAATGTTGCCATCAACTAACCGCATTTGCATATCCGAGTTAAAAACAACTTCACAATCGCGTTCTTTCATAACATAACAACTGCACGATCAATGAGAATTTTAATCTGTTTTAGGGAACTGTTAAAGTTGCATGCCATGAAAATCACAAGATAAATGTGAAATTTTTAGGAAAAAAAGTTTCTTTCGAAGCGAATGAATGTCAATTGCATGATATTAAAAACGTTTTTTGCAAAACCCATAAATGTTTGGTGTTGAATGGAACGAATGCAAATAGTTTATATTTACTGTAGCAATGTACAACAATGTGAACTCTGCAAGATATGTTTCCAGGAGCGAGCACAATTCAATTCTCCATAATTTAAATTAGCTCATTCCCACGAGCATACGAGGCTTCGCAGAGATCACTCACTGTACGTTGTGATTTCAGAATGATGAGGAAACGTTTCCATATGAAGTCTTGTGAGTCCAGCTCAAATGAAAATATCACAAGTCTACAGCAGAAATATATCAATAATATATCAATATCAAAAATATCAATATCACAAGTGAGTCATGAAGTGGATTTCAGCAGACAGCCTCATATGGTCACCGTGGGAATGATGATGCGTTGTCGACTTTACTGCAGATCAATTGTGGAAAGTTACACCCGAAATGGATTTCGTTAGTGTTGGGCAGTTATTCGCATGGAATGACGCAAATTCGTATGTTGTGGGGAGAATTTTTGCCATGCTGATTCAGTTCGCTGTGGTATTTCCGTATTTCGTCTTCGATTCAACTTGAAAGAAACACCATTGTGACTGCAATTAAGAAAATTCCATAACTCGCACGATTCAAAGAACATTTATGACTATGGCAGGAGATCATTGCTTTAGAATAATGAACATTGAAATGTTTCGTGGACATGGAATTTGTTTCTTCAATAGAGAAGAAACCTGCAAACTTCCGAAACTCGAAAAGCACGTTCTGAGGCTTATCAACTTTGGAAATATTTCAAGAGATTTAATTTAAAAAATTGAAATCGTTGAACGAAGTTTCACTCACCAAACAAGACAAAAGATTGAGCTTTGCCAACTGCACACTAAACATCACTCATTTCTGTGTTACGCTCAAAACAATGTGGATTCGAACAGAAACAACAAGAACAACGGCAAAAACAGCAACAATACTTGCACAACAAACCACTGAAATTCGTCAAACGTGCAATTTTGATTAGTTGGTGGGTGATTTGGGCGGCATCAGGAAGCCTATATCCAGTTCTCACATGCAACGATATTCTACAGCAGCTTAATTCACTCACATGGTTGATTAAACAAAGATTGCTCGATTTTGAAGGCAATATTTCCGTTTTGTATAATCAGAAGATCACTGAAATGTGAATGTGGACTAGCTTTTGCGAACTGAAGACTGTTCCATCTCAAGCTATAACACAACAGAAGTTGTGCAGACAGGTGAAATGGTTCACTAAACTCTCAGCAATATTTTGAATCGCCACAAGAATGCTATAAATTATTTCGGAGCATTCATAATGAGGTTAGTTTCCAGGATTATCACTGCAGTAATTTTACTGCAGCAATTGAAAATGCATTTTAATGACAAAACATTTCAACACTGCAATCGTAATCTTGGGTAAGATATTAAACGAATAGGATAGCAACGTCTTTGAATACTTGGCGTCCGTCCGACCAGTTATCTCAGATCCTCAGCGATGATCCCATAAGGCTATCCGTAAGATGCCGGTGACGAGAAGGACAGTCTAAATAAAATGGTACACTGATCAGCCTGACTCACCTGACGATCGAAGAAACATTTTGTCCACTTGCTGTGGACGTAGCCCTCAGACTATCATACGCTGGTTGCCCTGAGAGAACGGCTAGAACTCTTCTTCTTATTGAGCTGAAATTCAGAAAGAATTACCAAGCGAAGATTCGCTCGGGAATACGCATCATGCATCGCGGTTTGACTCTGTGAACAAATCTTTTCGCCAAATTGAACAGCATAAGACGAATGGAGCGATCATCAGCAATAGTGAGAAGCAGATTCATGAATCACTGCGCTCTTGAAAGGGCTCGAGTTTTGGATGATGCAACAAAAACGATTGCATGCTTGCAGTTGACTGACCTGTTCAAAGCTAAATATATAGCTGGATTCACGCCACCGTTCACAATCCACATCAAATTAGCACTATACAATATCCATCGGGTAGTCGAAAAGAGAATCCAATAGAAATTCCAATAGACTAGCACAAAGAGCGCAAAACCAGCTATGAGAATTGCCTGCAAACAAGTTTAATCACTGTCTTGATGAAAATCGATTGCGCAATTTGCTTAAGCCTCATGACAGGCACCACGAGATGCATTCATCAAATATGTACGGATATACACCGGAGATTTCACTAATGCGAAAACGTTCTGGAAGGGATAGAAATTGGATTAATTCGAAAACCTGCACAAGAATGCGAAGTTCTCGCGTGCGACGTCCACCCTGAAATCAGAAATATCTCATGAATACAGGACAGAATTGAATCAGAATATGTAAGAATACATATGTTTTAAGATTTTTTTTAAATACCAAGCAAATAAAGATTTTGCCAGAGTCAAATAATGCTACATTGGTCCCACAGCTGGGAAAAAAGAATTGAGGCTGAAATATTGCAGCAAAACGAGTGAACCTTTCGTTTCTGATTTTGTATCCATTTCTTTTTGTCACAATGTGAAACATAACACAGATAAGTGCATATCACAATATAGGAAAACGTTGTGAGCGAAATCTCAACAATCACCGAATATATCGAAATTTTGCTGAAATATTCAAATCAACAATTACGACAATCAAACTTTCTGGCGAATCTCACTCATGAACGAACCACTTTTGAATATTCCTCACGTAAGACTCATAAATGTTAATGAAACGTCAATCTGCATTCATTCGGTCAATGTTAATGTGACATTCAAATGCTTGAGTCTAGCAACTATTCCTTCAGTAATTTCCTTCATAAATACCAAAAATATATCTGCAATTTAGAAAATGAAGAGACCTCTTGTTTGAGGCTAAGTATTCGGCTAACAACTGGAACCATAATTAATGGCATCCAAAAGTAGCGCTATTGCTGGGATCCATCAGGCAGAAGTGTATCTGATGAAGTCTTCAGAGTTGTAGGGTGAAGAAAAAGGAAGTTGAGACGAAAGCAACTGACCGAATGATGCTGTGTAATCGTTCGTCACCCGTGTAATCCCAAATCATCGAAGCGGCACGGTACTTGAAATGCAGATGTGGTGTTGCGTAAGCGATAAGAAAGATGAAACCCCAAATCCAGCATATCGCTATCAAATACTGCAAACTCAGCATTTTCACCAGCAATCATTATGCTCCTCGTTCAGAAGCAGTCACTCAACAAGAGTTCTCCTCAAAACGTGCCCGCTCAAAACACTCAAGGAACTTTGAGCCACAACAGGAACTGGATTTCAAGCACAGCTGTCACTGAGAACATTGTCAGTTTGAATGCTACGCTTTATCTTGTGAATTGCTCAGCAGAAACAACCGTTCACTTCTTCAAAATCTCTGCATTCGCGAAAAGTTTTGAGTAGCCTCCGTGGCGCTCATGATAACTCACCTCAAAAATTGAGCGCACTGCGAAATATTTCAAAGTGTACTTTACAAAGGTTCAAATGCCGTAAAAAGCAATGATGGACGAAAGTTTTGAAAATCCGTTGGTGAGGTTGGTCTGGGGAGAAGATTACGAAATCTTACGCCTGTATGCCGACTCAAGAAGAATTCATCTGCTTTTGCACCACCGAGAACTGTGATTAGGCGATTGACTGCTAGCAGGAGCGTTATCATCACGTACGATGCCCATGCAGCGTTGAGTATCGAGCCGAAATACTGAAAGCGTTTGTGTGAGGTTACGACTCCGAGCATTTGCCTTAGCATTTGGTTTTTTTATGAAAATGTCGTTAAGCGAAGAGTGGTCATTACATTTTGAGTCTTCGACATTGTCTTTCACGCTTCGTTAGCATACTGACAGGAACTGGAAAGTGATTTCTAGGTTGTATTCAATGAATGCCCGAAATGCAATCAGCCAACTTGCTGGCAATCATACCGTCAGCATGTTGCTCTTTGGATAGATCATTTCAGTCGGTTCTATCGAAAACTTTTTCAACGAACAAATTGAAATATTGCGATATTTCTAGCTCGTTGTTGACTAGAACACAGAAAATTTGAATAATGCTGAATAAGTTCAGAGCGTGAAATGGTCGAATGGTTATTTTTAATCGACGTTCGCATTATGAAAGCAATCAATCGTTTCTGCAATGTTTTGGTTTTGTTTAATTTACTGACAGATGTGTGTCACTTAATTTATTGACAGATGTTTGCCATTCAGACATTTCAATTTATTGACAGGTGCTTATCATTAGACACTGAATTTATTCACCATCAGATACATTCACACATTGACAGACACTTAGCAAAAGCCTTTCAGAGGCTTTCTTAGGTGAGCTGTTCTTTCCAAGTATAATTATTATTACTACTATTACTATTATCATTATTACTATTATTATCATCATTAGTGGTATCATTATTATGGTGTTCAAACTGTCACGTAATACTCGCGAATTCACGTTCATCTGCTCCTCTGCAAGTTTCTAGCGCATCCTCATAGATAAAGAAACGTTTTGCGGGCATGCGACGTGATTAGCATTCTCTTAAAATGTTAGTTTACTTTTGCCCGCACAACCCATGCAGCATTGTATAGTTTTGTTTCTGAGAGCTTTTCTGCTTCCGATGAGGCGAGCACATAGTGAAAAACTTATGTCGTTATACTAAAGTTACGCTGAACACAATGCGAGAGTCGCTTGGTTGCGGTTTTGCTATGCTCTCAATATTCCAATGAAAACCCGATTAGTTTCAGAGTAAATGAAAGCACCAACCTTATTGCCAACAATATGAAAGTCACTTCTGCCCATAACGTGCCAAATTGATGGTCCAAATTGTACAATCAATTGAATGCAATCCGAAACACCCAAATGAAAGATTATTCGATATGAGTTTGATGAATATTCTTTTCCACGTGATAGAATCTTAAAGATGCTGATACATTCATCAGAAGTAAACCTTTCAAATGAGTTCTATATGTCGATGCAACAGGTGTTCGCTCGGAAGAAGTCGGCTATCAATCAAGAATTTGGTGTGCAAATATAACATTTTGATCAGATGAATGTATGAACCAATACAAAACTGACCATAAGAATGATAATGTATGGAATGATTGAGATGGTTATGATGACGCAGTTCAATAGCCCAAGTACCGTTGCCTCTGACGGATTCATCTGAAAAGAACGCAATTACTAGTTTTTCACTGATTAGTTGCAACTTTTAATTGAATGAAAGGCACCTGTTGGGCTGGAATGAACTGAACGGATTAACTCATTCACTACTCGCATGATAATTCTAGAGATTAATAAAGCTCCCACAAGATGTCACAAATAACGCACATATTGCGAAAACGCTGAGATTGCATACCATGGAGGCATTATTACAACGGATTTCATCTTTACGATGGTCCGTTTCGTAATCAATGCAATGGAACTAATGACGCACACTTTTTTGTGAACGTATGATGATGCAAGGAACATTCTGCTGACTGAGAGTAATTGGTGTGCTTCTGAGGAGCTTGTGATATTATTGTATCGATCATAAGAAATGAGCAGCGACCGACAAATTTTAATGGCTTCGGCGCCATGAAATCAAGACTTTATTACTCATAATTTTCAGTAGCAAATGGTCGAAATGGTTATTTCAGTGTACTTTTGTGAAATCTCGAGGCAATCACATCGCAATATTTTGAGAACCGGAAAAAAATTAGATCGACTGGTTCACCGGTTTTGGATGAAATGCTGTAACTGTCAAGCATTGTGTCCACTGTCCGGTTTCGGCTGAATACACTGCACAGCTGTAATATTTTAAACTTGTTAACATAATGAACTATGCAAAGGTTTTTCTCCTGTTCGCCATAAATTCAGAAAGACGTTCAATCGACGTGAGAGTAAAGTTCTCTCGGAAAATGTCGATTTCGATATTCTCTTGAAAGAATTTTGGTGCTGAATTTTTCTTATTATTATAGCATATCTCCTTTGATCGGCATATACTAATAAGATTTAGACAAAGTGAAAGATTTCTAAGGTGTCAAATCTCTTTTTTTATTTTCACTATCCAAAATCATACCGTTCCATAGTATTATTGTATACAAAATCCATCGGATACAAAGGAGATAAACCGAAATCGAACTGCTCACTCACTCCCAAACCTGAAATTGTATCTTTCGCTCGTTGAAAATAACGCTGTTAGATAAGACATTATCTGACGCCATACACTGTATGTTAAGATTGATTTACATACGCCAAGTTTCAGCCCCCTTTTCGTGTATGGACCGGAAGGAACAAATGAGACGTTGTGACCCAATCATGATCTCTATGGATTCACTTATCCCACAGCTCATTGTATTTGCGTGTTCAACAGCCCGATCTCCACGACTGGAATTCCAAAAAGTTCGCTTAATATCTCCCTAAATAGATCCTATTTACAAAAACCTGAGATAAATAAGTTCCAAACTGAAGTAGATGCGGTGTATCATTCTGGTCGTCTTCTTCATTTTTATTCTCCGAAAATCCTTTACCTACCTATCAATGTCATCGATCGCAGCAGCACGTTTTGCTCGCTAACGTATCATGTTTTCATTTTAACGATCCAATTTCATTTCATTTGATCATAATCACCTACATGCAGACGTAACAAGCCTCTTGGATTACCTAACAAACGAAACTTTCGTTAGCAAACTCATTTACACAAACATTAAAACAGGCTGACTCTAAGGCTAAGCCTAACAATGTAAACAACGTTGAGTCTGACGAGATGATGCAGCAATACAGCACGGCACCTACGATGGGTAGATACCTGAATCCGAATCGATTTTTAAAGCATTTCTGAAAATGCACAGCGGACCAACGACTGATTAACGAAATGAAGCAAATCAAAGCCGTCTGTCATTCATATTCGTCATTCCAATACAATGAATAGGAACTGTGTTTGATCAGCTTCTCCAATCAAGTTGAGCAATGCTCTGAATTCAACTCACAATCATGTGCAACCTGTTTTTCGGCTATTCCAAAAAATGTTGAAAATTTTCAAATTGAATTGAGCTGAGCTTAAGATCGTGCCTAGTTTCGGGCAAACAGACATGCATGCTTAAGCTTCGAACCCTTATTCATTCAACAGTAAACCACATCGCACTAATTCAAACCAAGTCGACACTTTTAATGGGAAACAGAAAGCATTTTCAATGCGATTTCATAAGAGAACTGCGTGAGAACAGCGTTTCCTATGCGATAGACATTGTCTTTGAGCATAAAATGAACATTTAATCGACAGAACATATTTAGCGATTCACACAACGATGTTCCATTGGAAGTGAATTTGATGGTGCAATAAATATTTCTGATTAAGCTTCCACCTACCACCCAACATTGTGTTAGTGGTTGGTGGAAACTCAATTAATCTCGCTCTTTGCGCGACTCAAATCAATCAAAGTTTTATTTCAGCAAACGCTATTTTCCAAATGATTTATTATGCTCTATTCACTCAAATTAGAATCAGTTGAAGTCACCGTGCAAAGATGATTGAAAAATTGTTTTGGATTTATCATTTACTCAAGCTAAACTCGCGTTGAAAGCAAACGTCATCTGTATCGTTTGTTTAGACCACCGATATCGCCGCCTTAGCGTAGACGTCATGAAGAATTGGTTGGCATTGAAAAATGCGGATAATTGCGAACAGCGATCGCCAAATGTCAAAACACCTCTATTGCTTTGAACGTAATAATACTGAGTTCGTTGGCGTTCTTCAGGCGCATTTCTGAGTTAAAAAAAGAACGCGACTGAGTTGTAAACACATAAGTTTCTGTAGCAAATGGATATGAACACAACAAACATCAGATGTGTCTGCATATGCTGAGTAAATAATGAGGCTCATCAAAGAATTTGCTAACAACGCTGAGAATGTTCTCATCATGAGCAAGACTATAATAAATTCAAACAAAGGCGAAGGAAATGCCCGTTATAATGCGTCGAACCTTGTTAATTATGCTGATGACGAAGAGACACTTGTGATATTTTTAAGGTAATTCACCTGATTTCAAGTAAGAGCAAGGTCTAATCTCGTCACTGAAAATTGGTCTGAAATCAAGCCTAAGCCTGATCTCAGCTGCTGAAAGGAATGCTCGAGAAGACCTGACTACATTCTATAAGTTATCCATGAACAACTGAGGTCCCAAGTTTATAATATACATCGAGGCACATGTTTCCAGCTTTATAACATACAACTGAGGCAGAAAAATAAATAGTAGTAACGCTTAATGATTACGACATCAGTACCGAACCTATCCAAATCCTAACCGTTTCATAAATTTTCAAAAATTCGAGAATCGAATTACTTTGAAAGAACTCCTCCATAATATGAAAATACAGAAAAGAACAAAAGGAAATCGTTGAATGTTTATGACTGATTCTTTAATTCGATGAGCCACAAACAGATGAGGAAACTGCTTGTCGAACGGATGTTTATTCAGCAGAAACGAATCAATGAATAATCTTGTGTAGATTCAATTTAATGGAATCACTTGCTAATCACTTGGAATCACTTCCTCTCGAAATGGAACCTCTCAAAATGGAATGAATCACTTGCTATAAAATCGTTGCCAATGAAGATGACCCTATAGCAGTTGGACTAATGATATGATACGCATTAAGAAAAGTATTAACGACGTGCATTTTACAAGGTTCTAAACGCTAAACGCTAAATGAAAATAGATGGCCTAGCGTAGAAGCATAGAGATGTAAGCCAAATCAACTGATAGGTATTGATTAGGGACGTGAAGTGGTTTGAGATTGGTCGGCCAGCTGAACTTTTAAAGAAAAATGTTTAAAAGAATGATGCTAAGACGAAATGATGTACTAGGCAACATAGTGGTGTTTCGTTCAGCTCACGTTCCCTGTTAAATATAAGACAACAATCTAAATGCATATTCTTGTATCTATATTCATGCTAATCGCCTGCAGTTGAATTGGAAACACTTAGCAATTATCATCTTATTCATCCTGTGGAAGAGGTGTGAAATGAATCAGAATTTCTGCTAGTCAGGTTGAACCCATTCAATGTCTTAAGCATTATATCTTCCCAAATCAGGGAACTATTCAGTTAAATGTAAGATTATTTACAATACTATTGAGTTGAGTTTTCAAATTCAAAAAAAATGGCAGGAAAGACAGCAAAGACGTTCCAAATTTGAGGCAGCAAAGTTACGTGCATTTTCGATCACCGTCGAATTATTTATAATTTTGAAAACACAAAGCTCACCGTTGAAAGCACTCAGTGATGGGCAGCTGCGATGAGTGAAACAGTGGAAATTATTCTAGCATTAAACTGCAATGAATTTAAGTAGCAATTTGAGATGACAGATCGGATACACGCAACGAATGGAAACATTCATGCTGATTAATGAGTTGTTTTGAATCGATATTTACTTGTTTTGCTTAAGCAGATCACAGTGATACACATTATTCACTTTCGGAGCACGGAAATATCTTTAATGTTTCAGTGGACGAAACTACATCAGTAAACAGTTGTTTTAACTTACAATAAAATCACTACGAGAAGAACTGGCGGATTATCTCTAATGACGTAAATGAAGGATCTTGAACTGGATACTTTTCATGAGGTAACCACTGAATAATCCCAACGAATGTTGTCGAAACTGGGGATCTGCAAAATCATGTGCACCACATAATTCAGCACCACCATTTTCAAACTAACATTATTCTTAGGTTCTATCACTAATATGGTCTTTTCTTCATACTGTCAGATTCCTCAGATTCTCCTGTTTCAGAAAAGTATAAATGTTGTCGAGCGATTTTGTCCTGTCGAAGTAACACTGAGGATTTTTTGAAAACATCTCACGTGTATGGGCGGCTCATTTCAATACAGGTTTGCTGAGGAACACGTCTTTTTCTCTTATCCGTCAGATTCTCTAGGTTCTCGTGTTTTAGTAGAGTACATATATTGTGAGGCGATTTTGCTCGCTGTTCGGATTTTGTTGATCATTTCGATACATGCATACTGAGATGTTTTATATTATTCATGCAACAGTTTTGTAGAAATTATCCTTGAGTACATCATTGCTAGAAAGCGATTTGCTTATCAGAGCGATTCGAATCTTAGAAATTAAAGGTGTTGAGCGTCTCAATTGTATCAATCGTGCTTTCACATGCGTTCCTTC